GTGTCGGGGAGTTGAGGTCGTTCTTCAACGAATTCGTCACCAGGAGATGAACGTCTTGCCGTTCATCGAGCAGAAGCATCGCACCGAGATATCTGGAAACAGTTTAGGTTCCTGGTGAAAAAAGCTAGATCGAGCCTTGATGGGATTTCTCTTCGGCGATATCTACGCAGTGGAAAAGCCTGTCGCGAATCTTTGTCTCGCATGAGACTGACCCTATTCTTTTATCGGTGAACCTCGGTGAGGCGATGAGTTTGAGGCATTCTAGCTGTCCGAAATGAGCAGGATATCCGAGCATGTGAATGTACAGAAGCTTTGCGACGTTCCGGCATCTGGAATAGAGAATTCGTTGGGATACTCGCGTCTCAGCCATCTTAGCATCGATTGTTCGATCAAGGAAACCGAACAAGTAGGCTGCCATCAGAAGATCGCCGCTGGCCCACGACTATGACGGCGACTACTGACAACCGCTTCCGTCGGCTCTGAGAGAACACTCTGAATTAGAGTGCGTCGTGAGGGAGTCGGCCTGCGTCAGCTAATCTTGTCCGATTCAATTACGTCCACTGAGAACGTCGAAACTCTGCCGCAACGCTGAATGCTGCAGGCGGAAGAAGTCGAAAGATCTCGTGCGGAGTCCAGGAAGGATCCGATCGACCTTACAGGAAACAAATAAGCGAGCCGGACGAGAACCATGAGGGAGTTCTCTCTGCCTCCTATGCCGGCAGGAGGGCCAAGCGAGTTGACCGACCCCGAGCCAAAAATGCTAAGGATCGCATTCTCAGAACGACCACCGAATGCGCTAAGACGACAGCATCTCGATGCAGGGAAAAATATCCGTCTGTCATGTCGTCTCAAACAGCTTGAACGATAGTCAGCCCCGAAAAAGCTACTGAACTTGAATAGGCTGCGTCGCACGATTTTTACACACCTCCATAAACTGTCATCTTCGCGGAAGGTACTCCGAATGTAGGCACATTCTTTCTGAACCACGGCTCTCTCATCAGCCGCCGTTCTCGCTGCACGGATTTGTCGGATGAGATCTCGAAGTCGCATGGGGCTCTGCATGGACTGGGTGATCCGGTTGACGCCGGAGAGAATGGTTTGTTGAATATCCATCCTGAACGGAACGGAAATTCACGTTCTCATGCACCACGAAGTCGAGACGGCGGTCACAAGGTTGTCGCTCGAGGCAACACGTCAAAGTATGTCTCCAGTTGATCTTTGTTGTGTGGCGGAGAACAGATACTTCCACGCTCGACCCTCTACTTCGAGCTGTCGACAGGCAGGATCCGTCGACGAACGGCCAGGAGGGCAAGCTGGTGGTGAGCGAGCAGCGATAAAACGGCACCTCCGATATCCACCACCCACGAAAGTCTGAATTATTTTAGAAAAAAGGTAGTCTGCTAGTCACAACCTGCTGCCAAGTTCTACCGCTAACTGCCGAGCGGTTTGTTTGACGGCTGCTAAGAACTGAGCCGCCAGCAACGCAGGCAACATCATCGTCGCGCGGAGAGCTGCCGGGGGCGCCGGCCGAGCTGTCGCCGCCTAGACCACCTTCACAGATGCCAGGTTCGCGAAAGTAAAACAGATATTCACTGCCGTGGAGCAATAGATTGATTCGGGCTCAAAACATGCTCGCTGATGCGTGAAATATCTCGCGATGTCTCATGTCACCCCCCTCCCCCCCGAGTGCCGGACGAGGCACGCTCCCGGAGTGGTCGCCCCTTTTAACCATCGACCCGATCCTCCTTTTCGGCATGTGAAAACGTACGCTTCGGTTTCCAGCTGGTGTATTATGTCTGCGCCGTCGTCTACGATGCGCAGGATGTCCACAAAGAACTAATGTTGCTCTCGCGGGCACTCGTATACCTTCGCTCGAAGCGACTTCACACCTACTCTCGATTGTATTCCTGCGCTCTCGGCTTCGCCGATCGCAAGCTTCTAAGATGGACAAATTCTATCCCCTGAAGATACGAAATGATCAACCCGCCTGACGGGGTGCGTGCATCTGAGGGCAGGATCGATCGACAAACCATCTTAATCAATACCACTGATTTTTTGACCTTCGACAGAATGTTTCCGGGTATGCATGAAAGAGCGCAAAATTCGTAAATGCAATCATAAAATCCCCATTTATTGAGCTCGATGACGAAATGTACTTCCAGTTATGAGGGTACGGGCGACCGAGCCGTTCCGATGGAACGACCCATCCAACTTGATTTAAAGCTTTTATTACTCCAGTTTCCGTGAAAACAACGTTTTCCGAGAAGATGCTTTTGGTATAAACCGTTAAGAGCCCCCGCTTTCTCTTCCCCCATACATACGCTCTTGGGGCAATGCGATCACCCATCGACCAGATTAGTTCTCAGTCGACTGGAACTTAGTTCTCATGGATCGACTGACATGAGCAGGTTTCGCTCTCGCCTTGAGGAAAGGTGACAGGCGAGCAACGAGCAGGATCTAACGAGTGAGCAATTCGACGGGTGTAGTCGGCTCAGGAGAAAACGATGCTCATAGTTTCGTTGCTCAAAAATGATTTCTTCGATGTGGCGAATAATCCATTTATCAGCGCCGTGACGGACGTTCTCGTCAAACGGGATACGGATCTGACCATATCTTCGTTCATTCACGCATGTCTACATGTTTACGGAGCTCTGCACTTGTCTTTAGTTTCGGTGAGGAAGGACAGTAGAAGGTCTGGCTTTTCTGGCAACGCTCCTCGTGCTTTATTTGCCGTGTTTCCGCGCAGATCCCGGCGCTCATGGACGAAATCGCGCTCTACGCTACGATATCGGTAGCACCGATACACAAATACGTTTCCATGATGCTTGCCATCGGGGCGTCGGCTATCCTGCTCACGCATTTAATCGCTTTGAAGAAATCGCCAATGAAGTTCGACCTCCGATTCCATGAGCTGTGGATCTCGGTCTTATCGATCAAGGTTCGGGATCCATAAATGAAATATGACACACGACCACTGACGGCTTGAACGCTCCCGGAGTGGTCGCCCCTTTTAACCATCGACCCGATCCTCCTTTTGCGGCATGTGAAAACGAACGCTTCGGTTTCCAGCTGGTGTATTATGTCTGCGCCGTCGTCTACGATGCGCAGGATGTCCTCAAAGAACTAATGTTGCTCTCGCGGGCACTCGTATACCTTTCGCTCGAAGCGACTTCACACCTACTCTCGATTGTATTCCTGCGCTCTCGGCTTCGCCGATCGCAAGCTTCTAAGATGGACAAATTCTATCCCCTGAAGATACGAAATGATCAACCCGCCTGACGGGGTGCGTGCATCTGAGGGCAGGATCGATCGACAAACCATCTTAATCAATACCACTGATTTTTTGACCTTCGACAGAATGCTTCCGGGTATGCATGAAACAGCGCAAAATTCGTAAATGCAATCATAAAATCCCCATTTATTGAGCTCGATGACGAAATGTACTTCCAGTTATGAGGGTACGGGCGACCGAGCCGTTCCGATGGAACGACCCATCCAACTTGATTTAAAGCTTTTATTACTCCAGTTTCCGTGAAAACAACGTTCTCCGAGAAGATGCTTTTGGTATAAACCGTTAAGAGCCCCCGCTTTCTCTTCCCCCATACATTCGTTCTTGACCCATCGGACAATCGACCAATAAATCTTTCGCCCCTCCGTTCACGCATGCAGTCACTCGATCAATCAATGCATCCATCGGGGTCCGCGAATCTGTCAGATTTCTAGAAGATAACTTATGTACATCACTAGAACGCCAGCACAGGTCGTCCACGTCAAGACTGTCCATTCCCTTTGCTAGCACAACTTCATTCGTCAGTAGAATCGTCATCGCTCCGTATTCGGCGCGGTGCTTGGTCGCATCCGTCGACGTCATCGGAGTCCATTTGGCGAACCGACAGCGGGAACAATTTTTTTTGAACTCCTCAGGTTGTATTCCATCGCGCTCTCGCTCATCAACACAGAGCCTGCCTACCCTCCTTTCAATCCTCAGCGGCGGCGAGCTTGGGCTAGGGATCTGGGAAAAAGATCCGCGATCAGCCACCAGCACGACCTCCGTCCGCGAATGCGGGCTCCGTACGGATCAGGCATTCAGATTCCCTTCCACGCACTCACGCCTGCACGCACGCTCATCGAAAACCCGATGGGACAGCGAGCTAAGGAGCTGGCCGGGATACACATGCTCGACCGTGCATTTTTCTCCCGAAGCAGATATTCCAATGTTCACGATAGCGGATTATAACATCAACAGCAACAATTAACACTCCGAAATCGGGAACGATGCTCGGCATTTCTCACCAATGAGCCACCACAGAAATCTTGGGGGGAGAGCTTAACTACGACAATACCAATCACCGGGACGAATCGGGCGAATCGGCACCGAAACGTGTGGCGAGTAGGATGGTGCGTCTTGGAAGAGCTGAACATATAAAGTACATATAATGGATGGGCCGGGTATACTAGCAATCGGGTTCAGTCCTCTCTCGGTCGAGTCGAGCATTCGGACGTGGTGGTTCAGGGATTATTTGCTCGAATCGACAGTCGGACAGAACGTTCTGTACTGCGCTGATAGCTGAGTCTGACGTAGATTGGTTGCTTGAGCGAGGATATATCCCGATTCTGTGGGTCGAATAACGCATCTCCGACTCCTGAACTGTATTCCCGGCTCATGCACGGAGTTCCACGACATTGGTTACATGTGAAGAGCTGTCCTTGAGTTAAGCGCCGACTAAGCTGAATGAGCCTCGACTGCCTAAAGCGATTTTTCTAGGAGATTCCTTTTCATGTTCTCTCCTTGAATTATCGAGTGAAATTATAATTAATTATATGACGAATATAAAAAGTGCTTTCGATTGGAGACAACATTTCCATTCGTATCACTCGGGAATCGGTCCACCGGGTACGCAGAATCACATGTGAAGCTGAATAATCGTTTGCAACAAAAGGCAGGAATCACCGGGAGAATACGCGTGTGCGATCCACTGTTACAACCGATTCCGTTTCTGTCACTTGTGATTATTTATAGATAGCTTCGATATGACTCGGATTAGCGCAGCATTTTCTTCCTGGAGAGTTTCGATTTTGCGCTTGAGAGTATCCACGTTCTGCAGAAGAGGGATGAATCCTTACAACCGGTCGTTCGAAATTCACGAGGCTCCGCGCCTCAAACCAATGATCGATGCTCATTTCTCATTCCATCAAAATCATACCTGAATATCGTTTTGCATATCTTTAAGGCATTGTTCTGCCTCGAGCCGTCGAGTCTTTTCTTGTTCCACAAATTTCTTCATTTCCAGAACCTCTTCCTCTTTTTCTGTCAGAAGCTCCCTCAACCGGTCGTTTTCAGCGCGAACGATTCCGGAATCTTTTTTGTTGGCTTCTCGCAAAGCAACTTCAATTTCGTAAAGCTGGCGGGGAAATTGAATAAATTTATACTTTCTGGAGCGTCGAGGTTGATGCCTGTTCCGCTCACCGATTCCGATCTCATCCATCGGAGGCCTAAGCTCCAGTGAATTTCCAGCAAGCCGGACAAACCTTTTTGAAATCCGTCGAATTTTCTGCAGCTTGAATGCGCGCCGTTTCTGCTCGATGCTCGACCTCATGAATTTTCAATCGACTCTGGCCATTATTCAATTCAAGCTGAACCGGAATCTGTAAAGAGGGGTCGTTAGGGATCATATTCGCAAGTCTCTCCTCTGTTCTTTTGGGCATCATCGAATCCCTCAATCGCTACTCACCTCATCCGAGACGCCTCCGCCAGCGCAGATTCCTGTACTCCTCCTCTTTGGCCTTCGGCGTTGACGTGTTTGCGAAGCGTTGGATGAATCGACTTCACTGTTTTCTTTGTTTTCGATAGCTGTTATGAATAAACTTTTCTTAAGAGCTGCTAGCAGACTTCGAGGAAATTTATTCGCTCACTCCTCATCGCGATGGAACCTTCTCTCTCTGTACAGTATGTTTCCGCTGACCTGCTTTCGGTGGGTCCGCGACAATTTGTTCGCCATCCGACAACAATAGATCTCCATGATTGTGAACAGCCTCAATACTGTCTACGATCTTGAGGTGCGGCGCATCTTCGATTTGGCGTTGTCTTTGCTCTGCCGCTGCGCGTTCCCGCCAAGAAGTTCGGCGCTCCAGGCTCGAGTCGTAGCCAACATCCATCGAGGTTGAAGACGAGGCTGGAGGGACTGTTAAACCTGAATTTCGGAACGTACCCGAAATTTTTCGCGGCAGGATCGCTACGTTCTACGTTCGGGTCGAAACCCCGGAGACCGAGCAACGTGAAGCCGATAAGTAGAATAAGCTAACTTACCCGCATGAATTGTGTTTTCTGGCTCTCTCCTCCTCCCATCATTACTTTTTCGAATATTCTCCTCCGCTGACTTAAGGTCCTCCAGAGTCACACCCTGGAATTGGAACGATCGCCATTTCAGAGTGGGATCAAAATCATCGGATGATTTTTTTAATTAATCCATTAGACTGGCATCAAGATCATTCGTCGGCAAGGCGGGCTGAGAACGAGATGACGTCCAGATCTCTTTCGCGGCACGCTAATTCTCGAGTTCATAAGTCGAGTTGAGGTATTGCTAAAGTCTTCGAATAGCCCAGAAGAAGCCAACCAGACGACCGACTGCCCGCGCGCACTTCCCGAAGGCATTGTACCTCGAGTTCGTGCGACAGAGCTGGGAGACTCACGTCATATGAACATCAGCTCGCAGGGTGAGCGTCGACGACGAATAGGAGGACAACATTCACGCTCGAGAGAGTACGACCCGCCGACTCTGACTACTCGACTCACTACATTTACTTGAGCCCGAGCCTTAATTCCATCGCTTCACCTCTTCATTCGATGATCTATGTGCGTCTGGTCTCAACGGCTTATCGGACTTTACCTGTGTACTTCTGCGAGTCTCCCGGACCCTTTTGGCGTGTGCCTTTCTCTGAGTTTCGCTTTCTTCGTCTCGGACCGGTGCGACGAAACTTCTTTTGACCCCAGCACCGAGGGAGTTCTGAATTTTTGGAGAAAAAAAAGTTTTACGTTTCGATCGTGAGAGATCCCCACGAATGAGTCATAGGGGAGCCAGATTCCTGACTCCAGACCAATGCGAAGCCCTAACTCACGGAGGAGAGGCTCAGTGTAGCGGAAACGGACGCCGAATTCGACGACGGTGTCGAAGCGGTAGAATTGCTCTGAGAAGGAGGGTTGCTCCGGGGCAATGGCGGAGGGAGTTCAATAGTGGCTTCAACCGAAGGTTCTTCTTCCATCGGATTCTCCTGCAGGAATAAGCGCGATGCGTGGATTCGCAGAACAAACGAATACAAGAGCTTTATGCAAACAAAAGAACGAGTGACCAAACGACGAGACAAGGGTTCTGCTTACGAGGATGATCGATGCGCTGATCCGCTCCGCCGACGCGTCCTTAAGCTGACTCCTGTCGCTGCCACTCATACGGGTCACCGAAGTTCGTCTCTTGAGGACGTGTGGAGGAGGCAGCGATAAAGTAACGATCTGGAAGTGAGACATTCCTCATAGTTAGTCGAATGTGCTAATGAATCAGCTGGCGGAAACGAAAGCAAAGACGAATGGGATCCGCCGTACTTCATGAGGAGATGATTCTTCCTCGCGATGCTCTTCCATCATGTTCTGTCGCTCGGCCAGCCACTCGGGTCGCTTCTGTTTCAGCTCGGCAATATGGCTCGTCAAGCCTTCATCACAGACGTCTGCCACTGTTTGACCCTGTGGAAGAATAGCGCTGAATGATGGGCAGCTGAGCGTGGCAATAATCCAGAAAATGAAGAGAAGGGATGGTCAAGAAGATAGGACGGGTCGGAGAAAACGGAGATTGTGCTCACCGAATGCGTCAGCTTCTCCAAATCGGCCAATCCTTCCTTCACGAGCATTGTACAAGCATCCTTCTGATCCCAGTGAGCAGCCGCGTGCAGCGGAGTCCATCCATCTAAATCTACAACATGGACGTCGTGGCGCTCTTTGAGCAGTAAATGTATCACATCTGTGTAGCCTTTAGCAGCGGCGACGTGTAAGGCCGTGGCTCCTGTCTTCTCGTCCACAATCACGGCGTGCCGTTGCGACGGGGGCAGCTTACTCTGTGCGTCCAGCATGAGTTTCACATCATCGAGCATGATTTTCTGCTCTCTCTTGCGAACTGAATCCGAGTCGACGCCCTGCAAAAAGAAGATCCTCGTGACGGAAATTCGTCTCCGTCTGTTCCTCTCCGATTTAGGATCGGCTCCGACGATCGGCAGTCTAGGAACTTGACCGAAGGACCCGCTAAGCAGTATGAAGACCCACCAGTTTCTTGGCTTCGCTCTCGAGCAACTGCTTCATTTTTGGTTCTTCGGCTCGATCCACCGCAAGCTCATTATCTACATTCACGATGTCCAGTCTCGCGCCACGTTCCAGCAGAAGCTGGGCGATCGACACGTAGCCACAAGACGCCGTAGCGTGTAGCGGAGTCCATCCCTCGTTGTCACCTATGTTGATGTCTATTCCTTTATCGATTAAAAACTCCACCATCTCGATGTTGTTATCGATGCAAGCCTGGTGGAGTGCTGTAAGACCGTCCACATTCGTCGTGTTGATGTTGGCGCTCCCGGAGTCGAGCAGTCTCTGGACTTCTTCTTTGTCGCCGGCTGAGCACGCCGCTAAGAATACGCATTGCTGGTTGAATTTCACTCTTGCGCTCTTGGCCGGCCGTGAAGTTTGCGAAGCTCCAAGGTCCACGAGGTTCGTCTCAGACTCCTCCCAGAGACGGAGTTGCTCGCGACGTTTTGCGCGAGCTTCTTTCGCGGTTCCTTGTAGCGCCATTAGCGAGTCGAAACAGCGCTATTATCTAGAAGACAAACAGATGATTAGGAAACTTGCGATGCTAATGAGGGAGATGTATAATATTTCTCGAGCATTGAAGGTGGTGTCGAGGAGAGCAGTACAGGAAGAGGCGGGAAAAAAACGTCTGAAACCCGTCGTCGAGGCTGACGACCCGAAGGCTGAGACGGTCGCTCAACAGAGTGATTCAGACGTCATGAGGCTCGAACCGGTTCCTTTCTGAGCGAATCAGGGGCTGTCTGTCGGATGACGGCCCTCACCAGGCGACATCAATTATCCGAGGAAGATCGCCGACCTTGCCGAGGTACAATTTGACGACAAGCTGAGGCACAATTACGTAATAGAGATTAAGGCTCAGTTGGCAATCAGTTGTTGGCTGACTATGTCATCGTGCTCCGAAGGCCGATAGCTAAAAATACCTCGAACCGGTGCGAGACATCAAGTGAGCCCTGCTTAGGTTCGCCGGTTGCTTAACATTTTGATCAGACCGAAACTTATCTATTCTCTGACATCGGTTCTGGCACCCATGTTATAGGTGGGATCCAGGATTAGAGCACTCCTCCCCACGACCGGTTCTCGACGCGTATCGAGAATAGGCAACAAATCGGAACCGCCCGTTGTCACCGCGTCGTGTGTAGTCGAACCCTGACGGCTCAATCTGAGACATCCTTTTCGTCTCGTCAGCCTAAAATCCGTTCAGGGGCAGCACTCACGAGCTCGAGAGGAATAAATGTTTGAACAGACAACAGCCTGAGAAATAGCATCGCACTCCGACAAGGTCCGATATAGGCCAGCGTCGAGCCTCGAGTGTGGCTTCAGACTGGCCACCACCCACAATTCGTTCTGGGAGTCTCCGCTAAAAATTGAGCCGATTCGACGATAGTAATCGGCGTCTGAGGAGATTCGAAGACGACTCTCTCTATGAAAACAGCAGCAGACTCGTTTAGTGATCTCCTCTGATATGGTCGATATCCATCGTCCGAGATTAACGGAGGACCTTGCGATCAATTGGGACGATATGTTCCGTGTTTCGCCTTCGTCTCCCTTGAGAGACCAACGATTGGGAACACAACCAGCGGACGATCTACGGAAACAGGAGCGCCGCCCGAGAGTACCGAGTAGTCTCCGTCGAAAACCAGTGGTCCCCGAACCAGTAGTCCGTATGTAAGAACCCCCGGGGCTCCCGGGCGATCTTCAAGTCTACACGGGATTTTATGGGAGGGGGTCCATAGGGATCATGGATCCGATGCTAAAAATATCCAGGGGGTCAATGAAGTTCTACGGCTTGGAGGACTTCAGGGACCAGTGGTCTGGGACAGGGGTTTCACACCGAGATCTCACCGGGATGACGTTCCTAGTCGAACATCTCGTAACACACCGCGAATCGGCCCCTCTATATTTGGCCAGGATACAGACAGCTGCGGTCAATATTAGATGCCGCAGACTGAACTCGGTCTGTGAATAGGAGTTCGTCGCTCTACGAACTCTCAAGCCTTCCTCCCGGTTTGCATATATATGTACACGATGACCTTCGCCGCGCTCGAAGCCTTTCGAACGACGACGCCGGAATCGAACACCTGATTCATTTGACGATTCACTTCAGCTCAGCAGAGCGCCTTCGATTCTAAACTTTACGCATCCGGCCTGAATTCGATGCTTCTCGTCGTCGCTGTGCACCCAAGACATGTCACAGTCGCGATAATGGAACGAGGAATGAAAGAACTCCTCCGAAGAGGCGAAGAACGAGCAGGCAGAATTGACAAACGTCACGTCCGGAAGAGCTCTCCCGCGAGGTGTGTCGACGGAGCGAGTCCGGGATCTCTTATCACGAATCCGATTTCGAACGCGGTTCCCGCATATCCGCACACTTGGCTCTCTTTCTGATCGCACCTACAGATAGAGTCTCGATTCGTCCCCGAGATATCCCGGGAAGGTTGATTTTCACTCGTTTGCCGCCTACCTGATCTATGCAGGCATCCGGAACATCAGCTCTGCCGTGATCCAAACCTCACAAGAGATCTCCCAAAGGTGGGCACCTTTCACCGAGGCTGGTCAGTGGGACTCTTTCCAGCCGATCGGTCGTTTATCGGCCGGTTGGTCCGTCGGTCGGTCTTTCACTCGGTCGTTCGACTCCCGGACCGCTTGTTCGTCTGTGCCGTCGTCCGTCAGTCCGCCCGTCACGAGGACCGACAGGCGGTCTCGAAGGCACTCAGTCAGGTAGATAAAAGGTTTGGGCTGAAGTAGCAGCAGCAGCGGTCGTAGCAGCAGCAGAGCGGTACTCTCTGCCTGATGAAGGAAACGATTCCTCCTCTCTGAGAAGCGGGTGACAATCTTTCGTCGAGTAAGAGACTCATGCACCTCGTGGGGCCGTTGTGTCACGCAAAAAACAAGCTTCCGAGACCAACGAGAGTATTATTTGTGCTACGGAATGACACTTCACGTCGTCAGTTGTGCTTTGGTTCTCGACTTCATCGCTGGTTGTCGATTCGTCGGCCACAAAATATCCAAATATAAACAAATGATGACCGACTGATCTTGCCTGCCCAACAAACAGCACCAACGGGAGCGGCGAGGTGGACGCGCTCGCTCGCTCTCTCACCCACAGAGCTTTCCCCCGGTCCTTTAAGGCGCGGTTGCCAGTTCGTAACGACCGGCACTGAGCCTTTCGGACGAGAACCTACGGAGCCGCGCCTAGAGTCTCACCGGCGACTCCGGCGTGCATCCGCCGGCTGCTCATCGGCGGAATTGATGCGGAGGCCAATTTCTTGGAATCTATGTGAGCGATGCATACACTCTTCCAAGGTCCGAAACCTCATAGCGGATACACACGCATTTGGAGACGGCATCTTGACGGAGCCGAGTTCCGTCGTATGCTATCTCCGATCGATACATCAAGAATCTCGTCGGGGGAATTCCCATGCCAGCCGATCAGGGGGCAATATTATAAACGTTTTTATTGAAAGTATTTGAATCCATCGACAAAATCGAAACTCGATGTGAAGATCCGGGAACGAGACTATTGCGGAGGCACGTAGGGCGTAATTAAAAGACTCGAGAATTCCTTCACTTGTGGAACACCTCTGACCTCTCTCTCCAGTAGCGGCAGTTTCACAACGTGAAAATCTTCGTAAAGATCTGCAATGAGAGGAACCTTATGATTTTTCCGCTGCAGTGTGCAGGGCGCTCATACGGAACAGCGTACCGATCCCCCCTCCCCGTACGACCGATGGATACGTACCGTTGATCTGATCTAAGTATTTCGCTTGAAGCTTCATGCGCGAGTTGCACATTTTGCATTCGTCTCCAGGCTTCTTATAGAGCAATTGATTTACGATGATATTATGAGTGTCTATGTCGCATTTGGTCAGCTCTTGAATGAGGCGCTCGGTCTCGTAGAGAGACAAAAACTCAGCTATACAGACGCACACGAACGTAGTCTGTTCCGGGTTACAGAATTGCTCATTCACCTGGAAAGGGAGACTCTGCGCATCACTTCAACTTTTCCCGACAGCCGAAGGAGATATCGAGCCGAACTGAACCCATCTCAGCATCCCGGTGATGATTCCCGATGAATAAGAACCAATTCGACGACTGCCGTACCTGACGAATAACGGGTAGGAGCTCCTCCAATTTCTGCGACATTGAATCTATATTCAGATCGGCGCCACCGAGCAGCACTAGAACGAGGAGAGCGAATGCTAATGAATTCGACATCACTGGTCTCGAGAGCGGGCTGGTGCCTAAACACGACAGCTCTTTGCGCCCCATAGATAATTTGGGATGCCCTCATGTTGAGAAATACCGCGGACCTCTGTACCTGAGGTTTCAACCCCGAAGAGAGGTCAATTAAAGAGCGCAATTCATCCTCGAATGTGCGCGCGGAGTCAACTCACTCGATAATTGATTCACGAACGGACTAAACTGATTTTTCAGCTTCAGCAATTTATCCAAGCCTTTCTCCATCACTTTCGGGAAGGACAGAAGTCTCAGGGTGTGTCCGGTTGGCGCTGTGTCGAAGACGACCACGTCGAAGTTCATTCCTTTGACAAGCTTCATCACTTCAGCGTAGCTCATGGCTTCATCGACCCCGGGAAATGCTTGCATGAACTGGAAAAGAGAAATTCAGCTCGTGGGTCCCGCGACCTGACCAACGGCTTATGATAGACGCCTCCTGGGGCAACGCACCTCCTGTACCAGACCACGGCTCATTCGAAAAGGGTCTCCCTCGTTGAAGTATTCGTCTGGGAGCTCCGAGATCCCCAGGTTCGGATCTATCTCCATCGCTGAGAGATTCGTGAAGCCATTGACCAATGTGGGAACTTTGCTGAACTTCTGATTGAACGCATCTGGGGGAAAGACACAATGGTTTTCCGTGCCATCGACTAGCGACATTTTTAGGAGCCTAGCGCTTTTATTCATCTTATCTGAATCCCTTTCGGGATATCCGATCGCCCTAGGAGTAAAATTCAAGACTCTGTCGAAGACATTCAATTCTTGAGATTCGATACTGCCTGAGTAATTTCAAGTGGCTGACTCCCTCGAGGTGAAGATGATCAGCATAGCGAGTACAGAGCTTCGTACTAATCTGAGATAATTCGTCGAGATCATCGATAACCCTTTTGTTGAAAAACTTACCGGAGATGTTATGTGCCGGGTCCGTCGATATGATGAGGACACTATTCCGCGATCGTGACAGCTGGACCGCCAAGGAGCAACTGCAAGTGGTTTTGCCGACTCCACCCTTCCCTCCAACAAAAATCCATTTCAGAGTCTTCTGATCAATGATATTGAGCAGCGTGGGGTCGAGAGGCTCCATCGAGCGGCCTAAGGAGGAAATAAAGAGATTCGGAGTTGCGGCCTCTATCAATCTCCTCCATGGATCTTCCCCGCTACGCTCCACCAAACTTCGGCTTTATACTCCTACTTACGAGCGACAGAAGTCCGCAAGACTCTTCACTGTGGGGGACAATAGTTCTGGGGCGCTCACTACGAGGTCTGATGCGTAAATGTTGCCGGCAGATGATCGCGTTCAGCAATGAGACAGGTGATTTTGCATGAACGCCAACACCGATTGTTCGACACTACTGGCACTTGTCGCTTTATTGCGTCTCGCTGGAATGAGTCATATTCAATATCTAGCTCGTCCACCCTGGAAGTCAGCACCGAACGGAATCACCGACTTCGAAGACTCACTCCGGGCGTAACAGGCTGCTTCATGGAATCTGTCCAGTGAAGAAGAGAGGCTGCTTCCGCGTTTTAAGGCGAGGAAAGGAACGATCCCATTCGCGGAGCTCTCTCAGACCTGGACCCTCGTGATCACCCGGCCGTGTGACCGAACGGTTGTCCTAGAGTCTGGTATATTACATCCGAAGGAAGCTTCCGATCGATAACCTCTTTTCGATCTTAGATAATCTGGAAAGAGCGCTGGCGAGCCGACCCTAATTGTCGGAGCTCGAAATTCTGGCTGCTAGCTGGGCACAACAATAACACAGGACTCTCGGAGGAGCGGAAAGAACTTCGAGAACTTAGATTTGTTGCCCCGTTCATGACCCGTGTCTTGCCTCGCCGTCCTTACACCATTTGAGCGACAGCAAACGTGAGTACAATGGGGGGCAGTGTCTCCCGGGACACCGACTGTTGCCAGATAAGATCTGGTCTGATCCGGATGTGACCGAAATTCTCAGCCGGTCGCTCACAGACCGACCCTCGCGAAACACACATGAGATGGAGAGACACCTGAGCCCTAGGAAGGGGAACTATTCCATTGTATGCGGGCTCCGGGCAGGAATTTCTTGGGGGGAAAGCGCGGTCGATGATATCCTTTTGAGCCCAATTTTCATCAGTCAGGAAAAGATGAAGGAGAAACGCTCGGAGAATGATGAAAAAGATGACCAACCTCCGGCAAAAAAGGTCAAGACCGAAGAAACGGAGGACAGTGTGCCGCGAAGCGAGAATGGACGCGGCAAGGACGACAGCGGCTCTGAGAGACCAGAAGACTCGAAAACGCATGGCGAGAAACAAGGCCGGAAACGGAAGCGGGTACGAGTGAAGAAACTCCGACAAGATATCAGCAAGCAACTGGAGTTCTACTTCTGTGACGCGAACCTCCGCAAAGATCGCTATATGAAGGAACTCGTCGCCGCGGGACAAGAAGGCTGTGAGTATTCTTGAGCGAAGATTTGCCTCAAGAAAATCAAAGGTATGTCTCTAGGTCATTCTATCCATGGGAAGCCGGCTGATCGATCGATTGCTCTCTCCTCCAGGGGTAAAGGTCGAGGAATTCCTGAAATTCAACAAGATAAAACTCCTTCTCGAGAAGAAAGGGATCGATGTGACCGAGGTTGCAAGAGCCGCTAAGGATTCGCAACTGTTGGAAGTGAGCGAAGACCTGACGAGGGTCCGCCGAAATTTGGAGAAGTTCCCGGTCGTGGAGAAGGATCAAGCCCTCGTGGATGACTGCACTATCTACGTACAGGTGAGACACCTTCGGAAGAGATATCGTCTGCGGGAGAGCGGGAGCATGGGGAACCCTCATGGATAGCCCGAATATGGGTTCGGATCGTTTCTGATCTCGAGTGGATATTTTCTTCCAGGGTCTACAGCAGTCCATGACAATCGAATCGATAAGGAGTTTGTTCTCCGAGTTCGGTATGGTGGAATATGTTTCTCTACCTCGACGGAGCACTGGTGATCATAAAGGCTTCGCTTTCGTGGAGTTCGCTGAGAAAACGGGAGCGGAGAACGCTTGTAAGTTCCATAATCTTCGAACGGGCGGCACCGGTATCCACCTCGCAGCCGACGACGACAGGACGACTAACTCCACGAAAAACGAATCGACGCCGATTATAAAAGTGCTGTCAAAGTGAGTACAAAAGCGGGATGTTCTCGTTTTATCGAACCGTTGTTCAGATGAAGAAACTGATCCGTCGGGCATCCTGTTTTGTCTTGCAGAAAAGAATGGGCACAATACAAACAGCAATACTTGGAATTGCGCAAAGAGAGTGCGAAGATGACCAAGAAGCTCCTGAGTACATTCGCATCGTCCGCGAGCGCAGATGGGGATCGGAGGGAAAATGGACATCGGAATGGAGATTGGCCCGAAGCAGGGAAAGGAGGCGAATCGAGTAGATCGAAGGAGATTCATGATGCAGGTTCATTCGGGGATGATGATGCGAAGGATGATCCAAAAGAGCGCGCCGAAGACAATCGGGTGCATGACAATGATGAAAACAAGGCGGTCCCGCGCGACCTCCCTCAATTCATCGAAGGGTGCATTGTGAAGCTTGAAGCTGAAAGTCCTCTACTCAAAAGTGCCAAGGTAAAAGGCGAACACCTGTGATGTCTGACGGAATCATACTGTTCGCCGCGGAAAAAATAACACGAGGCCTTTCCAATCCACAGACTGCACTCAGGGAAATCCCCAACGTTGCGTATGTGGACTTGATGGAAAACGACCCTATCGCGTATTTGAGGTTCCCGACTGCCGAAGCGTCTCAAACTTTCATCGAGAGCAACGTCGAGTTGACAGTCGTCAAAATAAAATGTAAAACCATTTTGAGCGGACGAGAGGAGCAGCTGTACTGGGAGAGAGTCGAATTCATGCGCGTCAAGAAGAGAGGACGCGGGAGAGAGAAACTAAGAGGCAGAGAGAAGCTTCAAGTTCGTTATGAGAAACACGTCGCCATCCAAGAAGAAAGGAAGTTGAATAAGAAGATAGTTTTCCAAGACTGAGCTCAGTACCTTGTAGATTTTGTTGAAAGAGATGTATATACCCAGAAAGCCTATCTAAATGAGAAAACACCAGACATCAAAGGTCTCTTCACTCCGGTTCACTGGTCCACTCTCACCGAAAACCGCTCCCAAGACGAGCCATCCTAGGTGAGCGTGGACTCTCCAATAATCCTGTCAGAGGGGAGGGATGCGCGGAGAGTTTGCGGGGGGAATGATTATCTAATCTGTCTTGTCTCTGGCTATGATCGCACGACCGAGTATAATGGGATAATCATTCCGAAAGACCGAGTGATGCCAATCCTGGGTCAGCTCAGCATAACCCGGTCCCTCAGGGGGTCCAAGCTATTTCATGTGGAGGTTCTTCACGGGAGGACTGTTGTCCCCTGAGCAGATGCCGATCCGGTGGGATGAGACCGTTGCGACTGACACGCCGAGTTGAAATGTGTGTGAGAATGCTCAATACCAGGAGTCGACTGCCGCCCGGGACCCTTCGATCGACGAGAGCTGAGCGCGGAGCCCTAGATACGGACACGCACATCGTTCTAGAATGAGAGGAAGGAAGATTCGACCTACGGAGGTTCTCGTCCCGACTTGGACTTCACCGTGGTGCTACCGCGGGATATCTACAAAACAAGAAGAATATCTTGAGTGGTTGGGCGGATGAACGATTTGTGAATACGGAAGAATTACCCCAAAAAAGCGTCGTAGGAGTGATCTTCGAAATAGTCGCCACGCGATTCCGCTGCAAAAATCTAGGAAGGAAAGTGGCCCCCACGACCGGCCGCTGACCATGACGCTCCGTGCCGGCGAAGGTGTCTTACGGCTCACGGCACGTCTTCCTGCCCCTGAATCCCAAGCCGGATCGTTCCTTCTGGAGAATGATCCCGTCCGCGATGGATTCGCGAGACGCAACGCTTCCGCCACGGAAGCGGAATTAGTTGTCTCCCGGTGGGGCTCAAGCCCAGCTAATCGATTTCTACCTCTCGATCGTCGGAAGAGAAGATTTCAAGAGATTTTGGCGACCACAGGTATACCTGTGCGAGCATTGACGGATAGAAGGAAAAATCCAGAGCGGTCCATGAAAAAAAACTCATTCGGATGAATCGCTGGTAACACGAACTCCCATGGAACCGAGAACTGAACTTCGCCGAGGATTCTCGCTCCGACAGATGTAAAGATTCTTAACCGCTCGCACCATCGTCAAAATTCATTGGAGTAGGCACTGGGGTAGCGGACGCGCTCGTATCACCGATTGGTTCGTATTGAAAGAAAGCAATCGACGTTTCCGTGAGCTTCCGATATGATCGCTTTCCCTCCCCTCAGATTCAGCTTCACCGACCGCAGACGCGGCAGCCGCAGTCGCAATTTCAGTGTCAGACAGGATGCGATTCGGTGTGACACTATTCCGTCCGTCAGGACTCACAATTGCATTAATTGCAATTATTCTTCTCTCTGTCCAACTTGCGGGACAAGTTGAAGCTAAGATAGTTCACAAAATTGTTCGGAATATCGCCATACCGGTAATAGCCGGTGCAGGAGCTGGAATAGCCGGCGGAGTTGTCGCCGGAGTCGTGACAGGAACCCACAAGAATCAGCCGTACCATCCGTAAGTTTGAGAGGTGTATTCGTTGGTCTTCGGACCTGTTTGCTTGTTTATGCCCGTTTCGTGCTTATATTCGTCTTCGTCTTATCATATGTGTCACTGTGTCCTTGTGTCTAATTTCGTTTAATGTTACTCGCAACGACAGTTTAAGTTCTTCGAGCTATTACGCTTATCGACATTCGTTCGCTCACCGGCCTCAAATACTCCACTCGCTGCGACAAGTTTTGAGGTACTCATTAGAGCATCGACGATCAGCGTACCGGCTCGCGCACCCGGCGGTTTATACTTTGAAAGACGAACCTCACGTCGAATGCAAAGTAGTACCTCAACATTCGGATGCTTACACCGAGATACAGAACCAGGGTGGACTAGAGCACGGACTAGCATCAACAGATGTCGACGAAGACCACGAAGGACTCGAGAAGCATAAGACGGCCTATTCTACGGCCGATTCCGAGTACGAGCAAACGGATGAGGCTGAAGAGTCCGATCGCGAGTTCTCCAGGCGACAACAATCCCGCAAGTTGCGTCGGACAGGAGAAACTCGGAAGAGTAAACCCGCGAGAAAAACATAGCCGATAGAAGGGAAATGCTGCAATAGCTGTTCCTAACGGTGTGTCCTTGTGTAACGAATTCGTTTTATAAGTCTTTATGTTGTACGTAATCCGTTGTCCTTCCGTCGCTTTGTGAGCATGCTTGCATGAAATCGACAACGATTTTCGGTGACACCTTGCCTTAATTCTCGCTCTGAAGCGTCTGAAGATTGCGATCTACGACTCCAGAATTTTTCATTCGAGTTCTAAGCAATCGTACACTTCATTCCACAGTCAAGTTGTGCAACCCCATAAATACGGGAAGGGGAAACACGGATATTTCGCGTACTAATGAAGCTGTGTATGAGTTCCCGGTCCCGTCTCCGACGATGCGACTCCCACCCGACTGCATCCACTTCTTCCGATCCTGACCGCAAGCTGCTGCAGATGGCTCTGTCACTATGAGAGATATGGAGGACCGAATGAAACCAGTTGACAGGCTGTCCGATCGAATTTCACCGCGAGGCTCTACGCCAGATTTTCCGTCAGCGTGTTTTCCGGCGGGAGAAAAGCCTGATTAGCAACATTGCGGCGTGCGAAAGTCGTCAACGGCTCCGGCTAGGCGTCGATTGGTGGCTCTAGTAAACGATATCCACAAACTGGACCAGGGTTGGAGCCCCGACCCGTGAATCAATGTGTATCTCCTTCTACCGAAGTCATTGAGCCAGCAGATTTGTTTTTCTTTTTGTTTGTCAAGCTGCCCGTAGAAGGCCTCTGGCCAGGGTCCGGATGTCGGACCGCATTGTGCAGCCAAGCTCTGCGTGGCCTTCTCTTCCTGCATCGAAAGGACATCCGGAATATGTGGGTCACTCAGAAGATTGTATAGCTTACGTAAGCAAAGACGACTAGCGGTATCATGATGACGATCGATTCAGCGCCAACAGGTGTCCGCTCCGCTGTCCTTTCACCGAGAAATTCCGGCTGTATACTGTTCCTCACCGTGGCGTGTCCGTTGTGACTACTATGTAGATGTTTTTTAGTATTAATAAACTCGTAGTGTATTTTCGGTCCTGCTCCATTGAATGGGATGAGGGGATCCGAGAAGGAGCGGCTCCGTGTTGCCCATCTTATTCCTCCGTCTTCGGAACCGCAGATCACGGCTGTGCTGCTTCGGTCAGTGACATTCGACGCGGGGCAGCGACGAATCCCTTCAAAAGGAGCCGCGCAAAAAGTTGACTTTACAAAAATTGACTTCTGATCAGTTTCCGCGGTGAGCGCGTTCAGGAAGGAGCACCCAAGCCTCCACTGTCTGAAAATCTCGTCAGGTGCGAGATTCACCGTGAGCGCCTAGGTTCTTTGGGGATTTGATATCTGCCGCTCTTCCGGAGAGGTGGAATGACTGGGAGCACAAGGGAGTTTAGATCCTAAAGGGCTTCGCAGGTATCCCTCGAGAGCGCTCATCGAGCTCACCGCTTCACTTTCCCCCTCGATGATTCCTGCAATTCAGTGAATCCTGGTCGCAAAGAACTCATGAAACGGTTCCAGACCGTTCCATCTCGCTGTATGCAGGAGATATGGTTTACGATCACCAAATTGCCGTGGCCCACTTTCCAAAGGAAACTGTCGTCGTGGCCCATCATCGAATGCAACAGGACCTGATTATGAGCTTTCCGGGCCGGGCGAAACAAGTAGCATTTTTCACGTCGTGAGTATCGTTTCGATTGTCAGTAAAAGAGTGGAAATGTACCAGAAAAACATCGAGGCCAGCTGAATGCTCAATCGGATTATCGTTCTCTCGGTTCTGCAGACAACGGAAGACCCTTTGCTCCAGGCCCATGCTTGCAGGTGGCGCAATCCAAAACGGTTTTATGAGCGTAGTCCAAAGCCTGAATGCTGGCGTTCTCTACTCGTCCCGGACTGCACCACGAAGCCGACGGTACGATACCTCAGAATCGCCGATCGAAGCCACTCTTCGCGAACGTTTCCGAGCAGCAAATGTAATAATAATAATTATGTAAAGAAGTAGCCTAGTGCAACGACGTCGGTACAATCGGATTCAGGCGGTAGCGGGTATCGAGAGGCCTGTCCTCGACGAATCCCGTGGGTCGTCGATATTGGTCTTGGAAATCGTATTCAGTAACGACGAAGACGGCTATGCCGCGGGAAGATCGCAGTTAGCTTGTGGTCGGTCAAATAAAAGATCCGAGCTGGCTGGGGTCGGGATTCGAGGGGAACCATAGCTCTGATACGCTATCCCATCGCTGCTGAGGCTCAAGTCATCGACAGAATCGAGCGTTCTCGTGAATCCTCGCTTGATGAAGCACATGAGGAGGCGCAGGAGCTCAGCACTTGGCTATCGAATGTATTGTCCGACTTCGCGCGATCCTCCGGAAATCCGTGCATTAGCACGAATTGGCATCTGTTATGTACGAGAGAAATACCGTCGCTCTTTTCAACTTCGATGCTCGGCTGGAATGACATCGCTTTGGAGTTTCATCAGGTCGTTCCGATCTTGTCGCATAAAACGTCACCCTCAGTCAGTGAAAGCTGCCGAAGGAGGTACGTTCGAAACGACCCGCCAAAGTCCGGATTAGGGGGCTGTGATTCGTCTGCTTCGCAAGTTCAGCTCACTGCTGGCTGTGGGCAGGGGCAGCAGCTGCTGCTGCTGTTTTCTCTCACTCGGTTCTGTTGTCATGTCATTTCATCCCCATCATCGAACAGTGGGAGGCATGGTATTTTAGGGTGGTTTGATGACGTTTTGAGATGTTTTGTTCGATGCGATTATAGCATTTATGTTCCGTCGACCTGGGGATAAAGCCCCCCTGTTGCTAGATGACGGGGTGGCTGTCGCAGTGGCAGCGAACGACATCAATTGCCTCAGGTACGTGACACCCGAGGTTTCGGCTCAGGCGAGATTTTTTCCAATTACGACCCGCGAACAGACCAGATTGTCGATCGGCGCTTCAACCGATCAGGGAAGCGGATGCCGCTCTCGGAGGGCTCCGCCTGCGGTTCGCCCAAGGAACAGATGTTTTCTTCTGTTGGGAGAGTCTATCCGTCGCTGGCAGCACCAGCTGTTCGTGGGAGTGATTCGAAACGTCACATTCAGACTTTGAAGTCGCCCTGGATCATTCCTCTCAACAATCGGCGAACCTCGGGAATTGAAAAAGCTCTATATGGAAGGCGGAATCGCATTCCGTGCGCTGTAGCTCCTCTGTAGACTACCAGGAGTATTCCTCGCTGGACTCGGGTCTCAAGGTTCACGAGATCGAAGGGTCGGAGTTGAAATTTTTTTTCCCGCTTCCAGTGATGTGCTATCCTCGTTCCCCGATGTGGCGCGAAATGGACTTGGCAAGGCATACGCGACGGAGCCAGATGTCAGCGACGAAGTTCTTCACGATGTAGTTGGAGTATTCGTCGTGGCCTTCGATACTCGACATGGTCAGTACCAGGAATTCAATGGTAGTCAAATGATCGGATCAGAAGCGAGTGAAAATTTTCCTCTCCCGTTGCTAAATCCGCGTGGAGTTTCTCCTCTATTCATCGAGTGAATTTTCCAGGTAACATTGTCGAGTGGTTCGCACCAGATGACTTGGATATTAATGGGATCGAATTTAAGGCCATGGCAAGCGGCGCTCACAGAACAACGACGGATTTCATGTGAGTATCCCGCATCCATTGAACGTAATCGAATATGAGCAGTAACTGTGCTTTGCGTTCACGAACATGAATCGACGACGTGCAGATTATTCTCGGGCTCTTTACGGATACGCGTGTTTTCCATGCAGATACTTCAAACGGGGCGCGTTCTTCGGCTTGGCCTCTTTTGAGAAACTTGACGTGGAGAACACGTCAGAGAGAGGTGCTAGAATGAAATCCGTCGGAGTATTGACCCGCAGTTACTCGCTTCTACACATGTACAAAGTATTTCTACAAAAACAAGTCAGGTGAGACCCCAAGTTCGCGCTCACTGAGCTGCTTTTGTCAGCTCGAATCACATAGTAGCTCGTTGGAGAACTAAATTAATTGCTGTTCCCGCAGGCATCTCCTTGAGAACCAGGGAAGCTATGGAGCTTTATCGAGATTCTATCAGCGGAAACGGAGCCTAGTTTATGGGGCTTCGGGAACGATGACTGAGGTCGACCTTGGCTACGAACCCACTCTCTGCGAAGGACTCCCCCAGATGGAAATTACTCACCCAGCGGGATGTTTCTCACAATTTCTCAACTATTTTGGTGATAAAATCTTCGCACTATGGAGGTTTGCGCTTCTCCGGAAGAGAATCCTTTTCTTCTCTCAACCACCTATCGGTACGGTTCGCCTAATCGAATTTTGATTGCATCGAGAAAGAGAGATTAGCCGGAGTAGCCCAGCGGTATCCAGAGGTTTCCGCCCGCGGAGCCCCTGGCCAGCTCTTGGTTCCGTGGTCAATGCGCGACTATCGCAGCTCTTTCCCTTGACCACGTTCCCCATGGAGATCTCGAACTGGCTCTGCGGGTGATTTCCGCTATGGGCTCGAATATCCCTTAGGATCAAGGTTCAAACACTATCAAGAGCAACCTGGGGAATTCAACCCGGGTTCCCCTGGGATCCGCGGCGCTTCCCTTCCAGAGGAACAGCTGGAGTACTGATACCGTTTCCGCGTCACTGAAAAGTTTCACCCTCATTGCAGGTGTTGTCTGTTTCCGTGTTTATTGCACCTCGACTTTGGTCGCACACGTACACCCCGGGGTCGATAGATCTTCGGCTTTGTGTCCTCCACAATTTTATGTAAATATCGCCGACATCGACTCTATCGAAAAAATGTCCTCGTACGTGGCATGTACGACGGAGAAGATATTCGAGAACAAGCTGGGTCTCTACGATTTGTATGTCGATCAACAAAACTTACGCACCTCCAAGCTGAGACATCAAAAGCTCCTGGAAACGAATCTAGCGGACCGCATAAAATTCCGGCATCTGAACGACCTCAGGTTCGGCGAAACTTCATGCGCTAAAACTTTATTTTCCACAGTTTGTTCTCTTCCATCCGAGCATGAAGAGCTGAGCTCAAGCCAAATCTAATCTTTCAATTTTTTCCCATCAGGTCGAAAAGTCAGCTTCCCGGAGGATCGTGCGATGCCGACGAGTCGTGGTTCACGAGCTTTTTCATGGCTCAGAATACTCAACTCTTCAAAGAGCTCCATCTGGCTCAAACTTCGGAAACGAAAATTCTCGGCGACGATCACATGAGAAGAGCAGGACTCGATCCTCTGGCTGATAAGCCTTTCGTAGCCGAACTGGCTGACGTTTACGGAATCGACATCGTACTCGTGAATGATGGGGTCTGCTGCGCGAGATGAACTCGATAAGAAGCGCGCAGCTAGAATTTCACAATATTTACAGTAGTCTCAGTAAGAGTTATCAGCCGCTGAGATCACTCATTCACTCCAATCGGGTCAGCGACAGGATTAGCAAGGGTCACCATATTTCACCGTTTGTCTGCTGCATACCACGATCAAGTGATTGCCCGTCGGCCACCTCCACGAAACTTGACACGAGAATGAGCGAGGAAGGGGATGGACACTGATCTTCGGCATCGAAAAATTCAACTCGAATCAACAGACGTCGATGTTCGCGCCTCGTCTCCAGAATACTCAGCTCGCTTCAGAAGGAAGATTGCGCTTCAGGAAGTGAATTTCACAGAGCACGGATTCTAACCCGAGTTACGTGGTGATTGACTCAGACCTATTGCACCAGATGAGGCAGCGATCGTGAGAGAAGTCGAACTCGATCCGAACATCACTTTTTACACCTGAGATACAGATTCGATTCTGTTCGACTGATCCGAGGATCCTGTGTTGCGATCGCCAAGGACCCATCTACCCCATCGACCGGGAGGTCTCAGCATCGAGTCGCCGCTCGATGTGTACATACATTTTTCGCGTCGATTCGACAGACAGGGATACCTCTTCTCCTCTTTACGGACGGAATTCTCCTCCCTTATTCCTCATCGAGTCCGCGCGATTGGAGTCACAATGTATGCTGATGTAATTTCCCGAGCACCAAATATCCAGTCATGAAGGCTTTCTAAGAAAAACCTCCGTACACCCCACCACCGAACGTCTGAGATCTACACATACCTCCATGCCCCCTCGTTGAGCCTTTGCAGCATGAAGTTGGCGACACAACAAAGTTGTTGAGTATCTGTCATATCCCAAATGCAATACCTCGTCAACTGGTAGAGGACAACCGATGGGAGGCTCTTGTAGAAAATCAAACGAAGAACTGATCCATTCCTCCCGGTCGCCAGAATCGACCTCATTTCCGTACAGAAACCTTATCGTATGGTTTTCGACCTAGAGGAATAAACAATACACGTAACATTGTACGTAATACGTCATGGAGTCGTCTCATTGGAAGCTTGTCCGAAATAGATTCTGGGTGGAGCTGATCCGTCTCGAGTCTGCTCCCTATCTAAGCGAGCACATTATGGAACGACCTTTGGCCGCGTGCGTCGGCTGAAGGCCTGGCATATGCATATGGGGTAAGCCACGTTCTTGAAATTCAATGACATATATGAAGGCGGCCACCGTCGCTGCTTTCATCTATGTCATCGAATTCCAGAAGAGAGGCTCAGACACATATACTCTGGAAAATGAATTCCAGCTTCGTAAATGTGCCGATGTTGATTCGATCATAAGTATTGAACTTTCCGATCCTCACAAATCTCCTGTTCTCCACAATATAATATCGTGTTGCCATTTCAACCCCTGTCTAACGGCGAGCTAAAAGATGTTTGCCGTGAGCTGGTGCATCTACTCATCCCGGCGCCGGCGCGTTAGCTGATCTCCGTCGCTCGACTTGAAAAGAAGCATGGCTACTCATTCTTCTCGATCGCAGTCAGGTGCGAGGCTTTCGGTGCTCTTTGACCGGTCCCGAATGGATTCGAGCTCTCTCGCGTGAGGGCAGAACGTATGAAATACGGATTCCCAATTCTCATATTGCTAGATCTTCCGGAATACACAGGAGTCTCCATGTGGAAGACTTTGGCGTTTCATGCAAAGTCAACTGCTGGGAATGTCATCGAAACATTATGTCGAGATCATAGCACTGCTTCGTTGATTTGGCTGAATGCGCATGCTGTAACGCAAGTGGGGGTATTCGAGATGTTGTCATGCGAAAATGAGTTTGGTGTTTGGAAATACAAATGAGGTTGGCGGTTTATAAAGCTTCGCTCAAGCATCTCTCTTTCGAGGAGTAGACATTATTTGTTTCATTGCTTATTAGGACTGTTTCACTAATGAAAGGAAGAATCGATGAAGTCGAGTAACCATCATCCGAATGACGTCATCCGAAGCATTTTAGTCCAGGCGGATATTCATGAAGAAGTTTCCTTTCTTTCGGCATTTACTCCGTAAACGACTAATGAAACCTCGAAAGAAGGCCAACTTGCACGAAAGTCGCAAACGGACGGACGGACACAGCGCTTTTATTATATAGGGGGAAGGGGGAATAGGGGGATTTCCGAGAAAAAACACTGCCGTTTCCTGGGGAAAGGGTCACATGAGTCGATTCACATGCAGTCATGCACGAGAGTGGTGGCGGTACGGTATAATGAGATCGCATCCTCATCCCCGTATTCTAAGAATCGACGGTCGACAGACGGAAATACGGTCAAGTGAACAGAAACGCTTATCTCGTCAGCTTTCAAAAGACCCGTGAAGACATCGGGAGAAAACAAGGGTCAGGGTTCATTAGGTGCCGTCTGAGAGGCGTCATTGTAAGCTGGCATTCTATTATTGAAGGAGAATAACAGAAAGAGCCTTTTCCTAGTTCACCACTGTCAACACGTTGTTCAATGATATACCGTCTGCTGAGCTTCCAGCAACAGTAAAAAACAAGCTCGAAAGATTTTTTCCACGACTGCATGGAGGTTCCATTCCAGTATCTCTCGAGAGATATGAAGCTCGGGACCCATGTAATAGCGACTCTTTGACGTCAGGATATAAGCTGATAGAATAATAAATTCCTGCAGAATGCTCGACTCGACCCTGCCTGTACCGGGCCGTGGAAGATCTCAGTCTGTTTTCCGAGCTAGATGCTCCGAGATCGCCTTTCTCCGAAGAACTCCCAAGTTTCCTTAAATCCGAACCCCTTTGATGCGCGCCCGGTGAGGATTAGCTCGACTCCCCACCTTTGGATGGGGTTTCTCCAGCCATGAGAAATTCCTCAACGGGATCGAATTTTCTCCGTGGCACTTCCCGCGTCTGACGAAATCCCGCCATCGAACGTGTTGTGCACCTCCGACGAAACAAACAGATCCGGTCACAGCTCTACAGAGCCAGATGATGTTCTCTAGAGTTCTAGAGCCCGTGCGAAATGTACCGACAGGACGGGAAACCAGCGCATTGTCCCTACGGAGAAGACGATCCTGCTGAGTAATCATCGGTGAAAGGAAACGATCACGATGGCGAAGCAAGCGAAAGATACACCACTACGTTCGCTATCGGAGACGTCCGGGACCGATGGAGGAATCGAAGACGGAAACATGAAATCGAATCCATTGAGCCGGAGGAGTTTATTTAGAGCGAAGCGACGGTGTATCACGTCAGCCGAGCTCATGAAATTGAATTCAGGTTCGGAGGAGTGGGCTGCTCCGATAGAGGGGACAGATTCGCAAGTATCCGCTTGCGGTGAAGCTGCTCCGAAAATGAGAGTAGTTCCGCGCATGATTAGTGCGAACACGCGTCAGGAAAAAGGGACTCGAAAGTCAGGGCAAAGCGTGGACGTGCCCTCGACACCCGAGCACTCTGAAAGGTCAGCTCAAGGCAGAAGTGGTGTCAGCAGCGGATACTACAGTTATAGTCCATCTGTGGCTTCAGAAGTTCCCCTGAAGCCTAAATCCCTGACTGAAAAACGGGAGAGGAATGACTCAGCCAGCCTCACGATGGAAGTCAGAAGCTTGCGAAACAATCTTGGAGTCCTCAAACTACTCTTGAGTCAACTGTGCATCGACTTGAAAAACGTAGGTAAGATTCCTCTCAAGCCGAAGTTCTTCGCAGACAGAATCGGGAGTCGAAGCTTGACCGAGTTCTCTTATATGAAGAAGTGACCTCGTCGGGCTCGGCAACGCTCCCCATCAGACACTGCAGCTTCTCACCTGAGCTGTTGGAATACGGAATCAAGCTCGCCTACTTGGACATCCTCTCTCCAAGACAGTCGGTACTTGTGAACGCCAACTGGCTGAGAGGAATGGAGCTGGTCATCGTGCATCTTTTCAGATATGGTGTGGTGAGGGATTATAGGATAGTCGACTGATCTGAATCGGAGGAATTTCTCAAGGGAAATTGACGTCCCTTAAAACTCATTCATATCCGAAGGTATCCGAAACAGGTATCAAGTACTCGGCAGGTGTTTCCAGATGTTTTGAGATCCTTGCTCTGATAGCCGCCGAGGTTCCTGCGGTGGAGGATTTGCTCTTCAAACTTGTGCAGCTCACCGTGAAAAAGGTGAATTCCCAAAATAAATGGCATTCACTATTTTACCAAAACCGCCGGCGAGTTGCTCGATGAGATAACACGAAGAACCTCCTCCAGAAAGTGCCGACTGCGAGCGAAGCACACCGTCAATACGTGGCTTGGCATGCCGGTCTGCTCAGCACGAACTGCCCTCGCTTGGCATTGAGGCTCTTGAAATTTCTCTTGTCGGAGTTTTGTGCGATACTCGTGTAAGATCCATCAGCCACGAAGTGTCCATACGGGAGGCTAATCAAATACGTGAGAACACCGTCTCACCGATGTATTCTTCCCTTCCAGTTCGTTGCATCAGAATCCAGAAAAATACGCCTCTCATAGACCTGTCAGTTTTTTCCTTTCGAATCTTATCCTGGATATCCTGTTACACCTACCTAAGGGTTGCGGACATAGTCTTATGAGCATTGCTAACGATTTGAGAAATATTCCGACGAATACGCACCTTCTGGGCCTCGCGAAGCAAGATATCGTAGATCATGTGGACTTTAGGCTACAGCCCTACAATAGATGATTGCATAATCAAACACGTTTCTAGTGAAAGTGTCACAGGAGCGTGGGGTAAAGTGCGAAGATCCTAGAGGTCTTAAAGAGGCTTGGAAGACCTCAAAGCGGAGATTCATCGGAACGGCGTTCCATTAATAACCCGGAATAAAAAAGAACACGCAAGCTTCCAAGAAATGCTCTTCTCCCTACTGACAGTAGCCAGTGACACGGTCGAAAATCATAATCCTGACTGTGATCAAAAATCCCTGCTTCTGTGTGTGCGAATTCTCAATCATGCTCGAAGCTCCAAGACTGGAAGACTTCCGAGCCTTCATGAAGGCTGGGAGCCAGCTCCAGGTCAAAATGCATTTCGGAGGAATTCCCGCGCGCAACGGCGACACGGGAAATCGAGTTCCAAAGCAAGGTGACTTGAAATTAAATTAGGGTAACGCCACAAGAGGCTTCAGCGCGACCAGCGAAACGGCTTTCCCGTTCGTATGTTTGCGAGTGAGTTCCAGATTTCCCCAGCTTGACCGCCAGAGTCACAGATAGTTGTCAGTCCAATGAATGGTGGGTCGCCGTGGCTGCCTAGTGACCATGACACCGTAGACGCCAGTCGGCTCTGCGGTGTGTTCCTGCTCATTGAATGAACGATAGACGGGAGAACGCGTCGCTGGAATTCTTGCCGGGGAAAGAGGAGATAGGAATGTAAACTTCAAAATTCGACTTGTATCGAGAGCTTTGAACTATCAACCCTTGATGCCGGGCGCGTCTTCGGAAGACGAGGAAGCACTGTAGACAGTTGGATCAAGTACCGAAGTCTCACGGTTAGGCACGAGCATGTCTGCAATAGATATCCGCAAACTCCCTCGTTCCTGAGTCTCCACGAATGGGGTCTCGGAGACGGGAATGCCGAGAGTGCCCGAGGTGAGATGGCTCGGTTCTCACCGTTTTCGCGAATCACGTACTAAGGCTTCGGAGTCCCATCTGACTTTTGGCGCTGATCAAAAACAACCTACGCTCAAGCATCGGCTACGCAGACATCCGGACAGAGCTCTGTTGATAAGGGATATTCCCGGAAGACTCGGTGAAAATAGTATCAAAACCTTGGAATGATACTATGAACAGCCCTACGGCGTAAATGCATAAATTGCCTCTTTGAATGCGGTGACGGCCCGATTCGTCTGATCATCAAGATTATATAAGACGGGGGCTTTACCTTGACCTATCCATAGTGGGAGAGGCAGATTTTTCCGGATTGAGTTTTGCGCAGCGTCTGGAACATTTAGTGGATGACATCCGAGAATTGGTACAATATGTGACAGCTCTATAATTTCCATCGGTGTCGAGCGACAACATCATTCATCTCCGCAAACAAATCAATAAAGACTGACGTCTCCACTAGACGTTGAAGTCGCGTCGTTTGCTTTGTCGCCCGCTGTCAAGAAACGGTTCCCGGGAGAACAAACAAAAGATGCGGTGGAACACTGACGATCATATTTACATTGCCACCCACAAAAGAGCTTTGTGATGAACGATGTTTCTTGAAGAGATGGTTTACGAAGCTATGACGCTAAGCTCCCTGGAAGAATCGGAAATCCCCCTTCTGATCGACTCGTATTACATGTACTGACAAGTAGACTAAATCGACAAGAAATTCAGGAATCTTGAAATCGAAACGAATAACTCCGTGCGGAGTGGGCGGATGGCCTCGGCCAGATTCCGGTTCGGCCCTCTGAAAGATGCTATGCGACTCGCTAAGCGCCGGCAGACTAGGTAGCTAGTGCCAGCACGCAAGCGAGTGCTAACCCGGAATTCAAGGATGTTGCCAAGCCACCAACAGGCTACTGAGGCAGGCCAAGAGTCAGACAGGCAGGCAGGCAGGCAGGCAGAGTTTCTCCCTCCCTCTGAGCCTCATAAACGCGAGGCGCCCTCAACCGAGAGCGCCGAGCTACTTGCCCAGCGTTCTGAACTTCAGTTATAGTCGCGTCGAGTACATCAGGGTGAGTTTCATCGAGTTCGCGACTGCTGGTGGTCGTAGTGGTGGGTGATTCGTTAATTTGATCAAAGTTTGTCGTAATTGTCTCTGGCTGTTGGTGCATGTTCGAGTCCATCTGGACTCGATTCCGTGCAGGCATGGATCTGTCTCGCTTGTGCCCGACAAGTAGCCGTGATGGATAATAAGCGGAGCGATGAGAAAGTCAGCTGATGAGTCTAGAAGGCTTCACTCGGTCTTGTACGACAAGTGCTCTTTTACTGCGAGGGAAATACGCTGATATCGCTGAATCGCTGGCCTACCGGAAATATCAAGCGCTTGCCAAATTGTGCAACACGAACCCCGGCCGCGGCTCAGTCACAGGAAGCAGATGGCCGGGTTGATCGTGCAAATGTCTCCCTGTTGCCAGTTAGCCGGAAAGAAGAGAAAGGGCGTGCCTGTCTCAAAGGCCACAACAAAAATCGCTTGTTTTATCGTATTCAAGCGCGGCTCGAGGGTCAGCCCGGTCACTTTGTTTGCTTGCGGTTCGCATAGCTGCTCGCTAGAGCTCGTCCGCTCGATCGATTCGAGTCATGATTGAGGTTCTAGTCACTCTGTCACGTGAATCGGCGCTGTCCCCTTGGGGGTTCAGATTACAAGGTGGCACTGATCTCCAAACCCCTCTACAAGTGCAGCGCGTAAGTGTCATGGAGATCTGAATAGGAGCGAGGCTTGTGGATGCTGCTGCTGCTTCTGCTGCTGCTGCTGCTGACTTTGGTTTGACTGATATCCAGCCGCGAGGTCAAGCGAACTACTCAAAACAGCCCCTCGTGAGTTGTTTACGACTCGGCCGCCCGCTGTGGTCCACTCTCGCCCACGTTCATTCCTTCACAACTGTTTAAACCTCGAGCATACATATGTCTGGAAGCTCGTACGGGCCTGTATTCCTAAGGCTGCGAATTCCGGCGGGTTGGATTGCTCGTTCAAATGAGGGATCTCCCTTGCTTGTTCTCGATCGTGGGACTTTCTAGGCTGTCACAGATGAGGAGAATCCGAGTCCTTTGATTCCGTAGGGCGCTGTGTCTCCGATTGCTGCTCCCGGTTCGGATCGCTTGGTGGAAGGAGAAGATCGCTTAGGTACTTCATTTATGCGGAAAAAGTTATGCATTATACCAAGAACCGCTGTCGGAGGGCACTCGTACTGAGCCAAGCTGTGTTCCGCGCGTGCCTGACAGAAGACTTGAATCGCGGATATTCGCTCACCGTCGTCCAATCCGTGATTCGTCAGCATTAGCAGTGAACCTGATGGACGAGACCTGCAACAAGCGCAAGCCGGCCTTGATCCCAATCACCCAGCGTCGATGTTTCACTTGCGGAAGGCCGACTCTCGAGTCAGCGAAGAATACGCAATCACTGCACTTATTGAACTCTGTTGACCTCAAAGCTCAAAACACTATTCGTTCCGAATGACGCTCGCTGGGCTTCGCCATGAAGCAATGGTGCGCTCGGAGTTAGCTTTGAGATCGCTTCTCGTTTGGCCGAGAACACGTTTGACTCACCTTCTAGTCGATTTGCACATTTTATTTAAACTTTCAAAAATCTCTACCGTGCTCAATACGGATCTATAATGTGCATGATCACAGGTTTTCCTCGGTTCGCCTTCGGAAGGCTTACTTCATCGAGGTGATCTCATCCTGAGTCTGAACGGCCGGCCAGCTCAATACTTGACACACGCGCAAGCAGCCAATATTCTCGATACTTGCGGCCTGACTGCCACACTTCATATAAGAAGGTAGACGAATACGCACGCGGAGAAGCAGAAAATCCATACATAACATAGCCGCATCTCTCTGATCGCATGTTGTGAGCACGAACCCATGCAAATCCGGATATATTTACGTCCCTCCATCTAGGGCGCTCTCGAAAATTGATGAATTATTTCGCTCTCCCTCAGACTCACAGGAGTCTCTTCTCCGGCATCACCGCTCGTGATCCAAGCTAACTCAAGCTCGAGAGCTTCACCTGTCTGTCCTTTTGGGCCGCTGCCCACCTCCGAAGGCAGAATGCCGCACCGCCCGGGACCCAACCAGACTCAAGCCACGATCACCGTTCAAAGACTGCCGCCCGGTGCTGTGCCTTCAGCACCTGGACCCTTCTACCAGGATGGCAATTTCGAATACAAAGAAGGCAAGGATACCAACGAAATACCCGGGAGGAAACGTGGTCGTAGGAGTCACGAATGCCTTCCTCAATATCCAATTGATTTTCAGGCTTCATTGTTCCCGAACCTCTGGTGGACGGAAAAATCGAGACCCTGAAGGAGCGCGCCCGGGTCACAAACCAGGTACGGCTGGGCTTTGCGTCTTCTCATCGAGAAATATGAGCACAAAACATTGCTCTTTGGAAGCAGGAAAAAACTGAGCAGAGTCCGTAGGATCAACGACAGAGAGAGATACAGGCTCCGAGTCTATGAGAAAAAAATATTCGAATCGTTCCAGGTGTATCGTAATGCTCAACTTATCTTGCCCGGCCCGAAAGCCACCCACGACTGCGTGTTGGGCTCGTACCTGCGTCACGTCAGAGAACCGTACTTCTCAACAGTTCAAGTGCCCTACGGTCCTGACATGCACACCCGAGTTACGCAAAGCGTAAACCAGCGTGCTTTCCCCCACGCGACGGCGGACGGAAGGAGAATCATCCATCAGACCTACAACAACCCGTCGAGTCTCTACTCGTCCCAGAACGCTCAGGATGCTTTTGCGTTGCACACGGGCATGCACTCGCCGTGAGTACTTTGATCGGATTCTGTTGAGACCGCCGCTTTCTTGCGAAAAATCGAGCATATGACTCGGCGGAGATGTCGCAGGTCCTCAGTCGATTTTCCAACCCACAGTCGTCAGAATCCTGCTGCGAAGTTGTCCGACATCACGCTCTCACCTACCTATCAACTGCTTCACGGTGCCGATCCAGTCCAAGCACATTCGCCAACTACCGGACAGGTAAGCTGCTTTCTCGTCGTCTTCGCGGAAGAGTGCAAATATGTCGCGCTCTACGGCGATCAGAGGGAGTCTTAAATGAACCATTCCCGTAGGTGTACTCCCCTCAACCACAACCGCAGGGAGCCCAACCCTGGGGTCCATCTCAAGCGCGCCACGGACCGACTCAGTCGTCGTCCTTCAACACCATCATGCACTCCGTATGCGCACCTGGAAGCAACTTGTAAACTATCGTGTACGATTCCAACATTCTCGGGGCGATCTAAGACTCTCGAAAGATCTTCCCAGATCGCTAATTGTACTGGCTGTGCTGATTTGAGAGCTCTGATTTCGACCCCACTCATTCGAGAGCAGATCGGTCTTGAGACTTGAGAAGAATGTTGTGAGCGAATTAAAAACCCGGAGAATTTCTGAATAATTCACCGATTACCCAATCATTCCGCTCCAATGCGGAAAAAAAAAGCGTCGAGGGGAAGTCAGGGCCGTGTTACTCCAAACGATTCCCACAACAAGCGTGAAAGGATAGTGTCGAATGTCGATGTTCTGGATATAAATTTCCCCGAACAGTTATTGTCTCCGGGAAAATTCCCAGCGGCGTACTTTTTCTTGCTCGATCGCGGTAAGACGGCATCCGCGACCTATAACTACATATATCCGTGGCTAATATGCATGGATTCGTGGATGGATGGCATATGTTCATGGATTGAGAGATCAATGAATAAACAGTGCAGGGCATAAATGAAATCGATTTTATTTCGGGTTTCAAGCTTCACGACGAGGTTCTCATCGAGTGACTTTCGATGGAAGGATCATTGTTGATTCCGATATGCTGTCCTCCCCAAAGTACGACAGATTCACTGGACAGATTCGCAACAATGGTGGCTAGCGTGCTTTGCTCCAAACGACCACAGACTCACCAAAGTTTCGAGCAGCGACCACGCGACTTAGACAGTCCCGCCTCCCAGAGGGAAACTTCCGACTCCAACGGCATACAATTTTTCTGCTCTGTCCTCGTCATCGTGAATTATGTACTTTACGATATATTTCCTCGATTGGGACTCTCTATCTTTCACAGCGAGGGCGCGATGTGGGGCGTCCTGCTGGAATCTGTACCATCATCGAAAGCGGCCTGATGTCGTCGGCGGTACAACGGCAGCAGCGGCGTTATCAGCAGTGTGAGGGGGAATGCGATCACGATCATAATTATTGTGTTTGATGCCCGTTGGAACCATTGATTGACTAGAATACAGACCAGCTATACGATGTTCCAAAACGAAGTTAGGGACACTCTGGAGGACTCACTCAAGAGTCAATTGCATCTAGGTCACACCTCTATGACGTAGCCGAATTGAGGATCTTCCCTTGCTATCGTTCCGCCCCAATCAGGCAGCGGAACTTCGTGGGCGTCCCATTTCTCCAACGACGATGCGAGATCGAAGGACCACATCAAGCCTCTTTGTTTAGACACTCTTTTCTCTCCCACCGAAACGTTTCCGAAAATTCGAATAGCGTACTGCAATATGAGGAACGAAGAGAATCGGCTTCCTGGCAACAAACAAATCTCAGAGAGCAGGGAGATCTTGTTTTTTTTTCTAACGGGAGCTGTACTCGTTCAGACCGCTGCTTCCTATCGACGTCGCACCGGACTGAATTCCCCGAAGCCTTCGTCGAAGATGTCGCTTTCGAAGCCTCGGGCGTTCACTTCTGGAAAACGTTTGACGTACTCGTACCGTCGTCCACCGTGGTAACGTGGCGAACGGAGAGACCGCATCAGCACAGTCCTGTGGAGAATTCAATACTTGAGGAGATCGCTCGTCTCAATCTGGCGACCGCTTCGCTCACGACGCGCAGCAACGCCGTGCGTCATTTTCTTTTCCAATGTTACAACTGGTGACGCTCGGAAAGCTTAGCTCCGTGACCTCGAACGCAACGAGATTCCTTCCTCTCATAATTTGAGTTGATGCTTTCGCCGTTACGACACGAGTGAATAGCTTTGCATAAGGGGAAGCTTCCCCAGATTGAGGTCGCGATTCGGAAATAATCATAAGGGTAGGTACTCTCATAAGCTCTCAGATCCCGGAGCTCCCCGCACCCGTTATCGGTAGTTCTATCGACCTAGCCTTCGACTACATCTCGATCCTCGATCCTCGGAGGGAGCAACGAGGCGTCAGATTCTAACCTCTCACACATCATGGCCTTCCCGGAATGTGAACTCACCGTATCGCCTTCATCATGTCCGCGTCGGAAACGGAGCCAGCATGAGAGCCTGGTTGGAATGCGTGAGCTTCTTGCTCTTCGGCATTGCTGCACACGAGCAGGAGAGCGACTGCAACGAGCATCACCATCGCATGTGTCGCTGAAATCAAAGTTCCGCGAGAAATTGAGTAAAGAGTGTGTGTGTAAAGCGCATGTTTCTACACCAAATAACAGTTTCTGGTCTGGCAGGCTACCGGTGTTCCGGTTTCCTTTCCGTTATCATGTGAATTTAGAATCTGTACTCGATAGCTCCATAATCCCAATCTGATAGAACCGAGACCGCGAATGTCTATCTTTAGAATGCCGCTCCTGAAGAATCACGTGGCCGCGAATTCACTGCGGTCTTGCGCTGGTCTACATTAATGAGTTTGATGTCTCCGTGGCATGGCCACGGACAGGATCGTACCCAATGATCCTACGGGTCCAAGGGCGACCCCCCCCCCTTCAACCCGAACTTCTTTCGATCATGCTGCGGAGGCTGTGGCATGCCGGAGCAACAAACGCAGTTGTATGGTATTATAGAATATGGCTATCTAAAGCAATGAGCGCATGAGAAACGCGTCGCAACGGAGCGAAGCGTGTCGGAGCTTGTCGGAGACGCGATATCTATTCCCATCGCTCCGCTCTGCTTCCGAATCGTGGAGGAGGGCCCCGGAGAGTCGTGAAGTGTACACTTGGACGTCTCCATCATCACTGAGTGGACCCCGGAAAAAAAACTTGGTACGCCTCTGGCTACGGTCTAGCCCATATTTTTCCAGGGTAGAAAGTCATGGTCACCGCGGCTCGAAGGCTCGGGCTGATAGGTCTAAAAACTTCAATTGCAGACTGAAGCGCAGCGGAGATATTGACCTCTTCTGTAAACCGGAAACACTTTCCACCGACCTCACCCCTCCTAGCGAGACGTAGTCGAGACTTCCTGCTCTCTCGTATGCCATCTCGAGTGAGTATGCTTTTCGAGAAACCCACTCCTGCGCCATATTATGAGCATAAGGCCGCAGATTCGAGAAAACATTCACTCCCAAGCTCGCAACCGCGCCGGTTTCGCGAGCTCGCATTCTTAGGCGGTCACGGATATCACAGGGGATTCCTGAATGACTTGAAATGAATTTCAAGAAGAAAATCATCCTTCGGGAACCATTCCTCACGAGTGTGGGCGAGAACGAACGCTTGCTGCTATTCATCTGATCCCTTGTAAGGGCACCCAGGGGAGGCCGACACGTTTACATTTTTCGAACCTACAACGCTTTTCACTTAAGCCGAAGTGTGTTGTCTTGGGGCTTTGATTGAGTTCCGGGTGACTGGGTGAATGGACTTGCCATTCGAGACGCAAGCAGTCACCTACGTTACGGCATCGCGCAAGATACGCACACGGAGTCGTGCGTGAAACGAGCCCAGAAGCCGCGCGGTGAACGCGCACACGCGATTTACTGAGCACAGACTCGCAACGAGAAGCTTTAAGATCGAGCCTCTGTTTTCCATGATGAAGTCGCAGGAATATCATCCGGGTCGAGGTTCCTTTTGTAGCCCGGTATGACCATCCAATTGTGAGGGACGGAGATTGCTTTTTGGCTCATCTCGGTGACATTCGGCACCCGTCACCTCGCCCCATTTCACTGTTAGACAGACCGTCGGTCAGTCAAAGAAACAGCTGACTGCACTGAGCCTTAGCGCTGAGGCTTCTCTCGTACGCCTATGCAGGAGAATCCCCTGGGGTGAGCTGGCAACTTCTGAATATTCTGACTCTATATGACGGCGCGATCCCATTCAGTCGAGCCCCTCCTAGCCTTCTCACTCGGAATGCTTGTCGGCCGACTCCGCTAGTCGCATCGCCTTCCTATTACTGCCGTCCACAATCTTCGTGCCCCAGAATGTAACGATGCGATACATGGGTTTGCCAAGCCAGCCGGATTCGACATGGAGCGCGAAGAACCGGCGGTCGGTATTTCGGATCAGAGAATCCTTCAGAATCTCTCGCTCTCGCTTCATCGATCAGCTTCCAGGAGCAGCATTTCCGTCGGCCTTCAACCCTCCCGAAGCGAGGTTACAGGAGCGGCGGCGCCGCGGACGATTCTGTTTTCGTCCGCGGCTATACCGGCTACGATAATTGAACATATCTTATCGGGCAAGGTTTGCCCTTGACAGCCTCATGCTATTCGATCCGCTCGCTCGATGTCACGAGACGCCCGAATGTTTTGATCTTTCTTTCGGAACATCTCGTGTTCCATTCACGAAAATGATATTGTCCCTAATCGCGCGGATCTCTGAAGCGATACGAAAGCAACGGAGCTGAGTGCGGGGTCGATGAGATCGTAGTTACCCACCGGTGACTCGAGGTAAGTGGAGAGTTCCGAATGACACGACTTGAGCATAGATAAGAACGCTGAGTCGGATCAACTCTCTTGAAAACGACGGCTCTCCTCCGTCTTCGAACTCGCAGCGAATCCGAGAGCTCCTCGCCTACCAACGAGAGTTTTCGAAATCATTGATGCCACCTCCTCCAATCAGACGAAATCCTTGAGCGACTCAGAACCTGACATCGGCTCCACGCAACTCGGAAACATACTTCACCTCGGGGTGACGGGAGGAGGGGGGGGGATATTCTTGCTTGATAGCCATTTTCTTATCCGATCTGGAGAACTCGACAGATCAATTGCGTGTACTTGGCGCATCTCACGGTGTCGTTATCGGCTCTGTCGAATCGAGTTCTCAACACGTTCATCTTAGACGAGCGTCTAGCACGGTTTCTCGCTCGCCTCTAGGACACTCACGTCAGTCAGAGGCTCGACCCGTCTGAGAGTCTAATGTCCACTCATATCCCCTTGTCAATAGGCAGGAGGGCCGTAGACGGAAACTGGCACGCAAGATCCGAACCGTAGGATCGGAAACGAATATCTCCATTCATTGAATATCTTTCTCGAGAAGCTCTGAATGCTGGACCCCGTTTATCTCGGAAGAGGTGATTCTGGTTCAGCTACTCGCGTTCTAGCAGCGACGATCTCAATAATAAATAATCAATGTCGAATTCGTCCCCTGTGGTATCTGGTTCTCGTTTCGGAAACAGATAGATCGGCTCACTAGTTTTTTGGCTCGACGACACTAAGCGTCTGGTCCTCTGATGACTTTCCCGGATAATGCAAGCTCGCGTTCTGACTTCCCAGCTTTGGAAAGTTGGCTTGGCGATGCGCGGCTCTGATCAACAAGTAAACTTCCCACGCCGATGACGACGTACTGTCTAGTTTAAACGAAAAGCAGAAGTGAGCCTGAGTTGACGTCTAGAGCCATTCCTTAATGTACACTACGGGGTTCTCCTCTGCGCAGAGAAGGGTCCAGAAAGACAAAAAGCAGGGAGCTGAAAAGAGATTCTGCGAAGCATTGTCCCAAGTTGTTGGGGAGTGTGACCCGTAGCGAGAGTCCGAGGGCAATATCCCACGGTTTTGCCGAGAGAAATTCGCCCACTCGCGAACTCCTTCTCATCGCATCGAATAGTAGGACACCCTTGGAATGCTCTCCTTATCCTCCCTATTCCCGCGAAGCCCCACTGGGTGCCTCCAGGCCTCGGTGGCGTTGCGGGCTGCTAAGCTTGAGCAAATGACAAAGTTCTAATGACATTGACCCAGAACATCGACCCGAGATGTGTAATAATTGGGAAGATTACTCACGGTAAGGGAGAGTACCAATTGGGGCAATGCGTCCGGAGGGCCGCTTGTTTCCCATCTAGAGAGCCAAAATCCATGCGCTTCTCGAGCCCGATAGTCGCAAAGGGCGGCGGGTCGAGCTTGACCTTCTTGTCTGAGCAGTCCGGTGACAAATGTGGAGGATGTCATTGAAATCCGAACTGCGGTACGACGGAAGACACTCCGTAGGCGTTGATTCAGAGATGAAATTCGAACATGCGCAACTCGACCCGAGTAAGATCAGATTGAGCGAGCTCAGAACCGATACCCTCGCGGTCGTGCGTGCTGCCTCGCTCGCTCGCTTCATCGGGGGAAGATTCGATATAGAGGACAGCTTGTTCAACGTCGCAGTAGTTGTTGTCGCTCGGACTTGTTTCGCATTCATGGTGTTCATAATAGAGTTAGGACAAGAACCAAAACCAGAGAGAAGGAGGAAACGACCTCAATAGATCCCTCCTCGAAAATAGCCGACTGACCGACTTCGTCGGACCGCAGCAATCCCCAAAGGCCGGATTCAGCTTTTAATAATATCTTTGGAGCTGCTCAGGAGGTTTGCTGAACAATGCGATTGAGAGGCTGTATCTCCAGTGGATGATGTGTTTTGAAATCAAAACAAGCTTTCGTTCGCTTCTTCCCGACGCATCCTGATCTGCTCCGAATTCGATACCACGGAAAGGAGGATGACATGATGCGAGGGAACGGGGCCGGCGTCGGTCGGTTTCGTACGTTTCCTTGAAGAAGTTCCGTCTGGACGCTTTCGGGATCACCATATCGAATCAGTAGTAAGCCTCGAAAAGGCAGCAAGTGGCGAGTCGGCATTGTTGTAAGAGGCCGTTTCAGTCGCGCTACTACTGCTCGAATGTTATGCATGTGCGTTCCGAGATGCTTTTCCCTAGGGTGGAGTACGACCCCGAGACGCGACACTTGGATCTGGCCTGATGTGCCGACCCATAGAAGACGCGAGAAGGAACTTTGGCGCTGAATAACACGCTCGACGCCCGCTCCGTGTCAATTCTGCACGACATCGCCCCAATGAGACAAACAGACCTTTAACACCCCGAAATACGATACATGCTCGCTTTCCTCGATAGGCAGGCCGAGCAGAGGGCCAGCCTCGACGAAATTCCGTCGTCTTGGGATGAGTCATCCGTGATCATGAAGGAATTTGGCGATCAGAACACATCGAGTCCATCAGGCTCTGTGACTCTCCTCACCTGTTGCATCTTTGCGGGTGAGAAGTCAATCGACCGCGATATTGCAGCCTTACGTCACTCAGAGTCTAGATCCGGCGAGTCGATTTCCGTCGCGGTCCGAGACTTTTCCAAGCAATCGACCGAGTTGGGAATCCGCTCAAGGTCAAACTGACACTGATGAAGGTGAGATGAATGAATAGCGAACTCCATACATGTACGGAGAGAATGAATCAGAGGAATACATGACGTAGGTATTGAAGTAAGGCAGTACCGCCACGAATAGCTTGGCTTGATAGAGAGGGCATCCCTCATATATGTATACCATCAGCGAACATCAGCCCTGGCTTAAATTATGTACTCTAATTGTTCTGTGCAGTCAAGTTGAAGCAATGATGTACATGTATTGATGATGAGCGCAGTCGAGAACAGTCGTTATCGTGTTTCCCTGCATGAAACGGGCAAATGCGAGCTGAACTTATTTTTGCTAGTGCGTTCCATGAGCTAATTTTTTCAAATGCTTCCCGCTAATGAGAGGCGTCTTGGTAACGACCCCCATCCTCATATTGGTTTGATCACGTCAGCGTTAGCAATCATGCTCAGGACCGTAATTTGAGGCTCCGTCGAGAGATTGGACTGCTAAGTCAGTCAGTGGGCTCCGCTACCGATGAGCAGAAGGGAGTTAGTGGTATGCGAGTATCAAAATTGAGCTTCTCTGGGAACAGTCAAGGGCGACTCTCCTCCCAACTCGAACCCCCATGTACATAAGTATTCCTGTTGAAACAATAATAATCAACTGTTCCATTCCAGCTAGGACGTTAACTTCCGCAATGCTCATGGAGGAGTTCTTAGCGGGACCCGGGCTAGAAGGTCTTTCGGGTCCTCGATTGAGTGACTCAATAGATAACCTCGCTGCAGTCAATTTGGCGATGCAAATTGCGCCCCAGCGAGTCTCAACCTCTCTCACAATTGAGTTTGCGCCAAAAATGTAGGACAGGCTGGGCTACTCAGCTCTCCTTGATCTCGAGTCCTCAGAAAACCCAAACTTGCTTCAAGCAGAACGAAATATGATAAGGAGAGCTGTTCAGTATTATCATTCGATATTCGTCCCGGTGCGGTAGCCCGTCCTCGTGGACTGGAGACACCAAAGCGCAAATCGCTCGGATCGGGTGAAGAGAGGGCATGTTATCGATCACTATAAGCTGAGACTCTGCACGGCTCCGAGCGTCGTGATTCCAGCATTCCGGAGCATCATATGCAGTATATGATCTGAAGTACCGATATTTAACCGACTGCGCGCGGTCGATGGAACCGTATACAGGGATAACTCTCGGACCTACACCGAATCTCTGGAGAAAACCGGAGCCGGTACCTGAAAGGGTTCGGATTTCTCCAGACGAGAGCAGAAATTTCGGTAACTTACATTTCGCCATTTCTGCGGGTCAGGATCCTTGACTTGAAAAGCGAGAGGAATCGGTGAAACTTTTTCTCGAGAATACAGCCCTCGGGGAACAGCTGATACGAAGATTTTCGCTAAGATCTGTCTGGTTTCAGAAATTTGTCAAAACAGGTGACTCCGCGTGTGTCGAGAGAGTCGGCGAAGTGGTGCTATGAAGTTCGCGGCACGCGGCGAGCAACTTTTGTAGCCGCCAGCCGTGCCAGTCTCCCCGTCTACCAATGGCGCCGCAGTCCGTGGGTGACGTCAAGGAGGGAGGCGGTCCCTAACGAATGCCACCATCAAATACAAATGCAATGAAATGTTTCTCGTCGAACCGACCCCGTGGTATTATTATTCCTCGGTTGTACACTCCATGAAGGCAACCGGCAACTCACCTCGGGAAACCGGGACACCTACTCTCCCCCGGGTACGCCTTGATAGCCTCGGAGAAAACTCGGTTGTCTAGCACCAGGACGACCGTAGGAGAGCAGGCCTTCCGTGTAACCACAAGCGCGAGATACGTAAGCTCTGCGAGAGAAGGCGCCTATCCTCTGTGAGTGATCTCGCAGGTCGAATTAGCCGGATCGAGAACTGATTGACTGGTTGCGTAAAGACTCCTGAATTCAGAATCGATTTTGTGACCTCGATCCTCAGGTCTGAAGTAACGGAGACGGTCGCCATTAAGTCGCGCCCCGAGACTCTCTTTGGTTCGCGCTCGTGGGCGGGTCATCACAGCCTATTATCTCATGCTGATAACGCGATCTCGTGAGTTCCCGCTCGAGTCCCTCAAGAGTTAGAATTAGTCTCATAATCGCCGGGCTCCGTCTACCTACAATGCGTACGCAAAACTACTTGGGTTGAAAACGAAAACTTTATTCCAAAATAAATACGCGGTTCACCCACACCACTGGTCGAAGACTGGTGCCTCGATGGGAAGAGTGGTTCCCATTTCGGACCACAGAAATCATCGTTGTAGTTTATTGTGTAATGTTCCGGAGGGACCAGGGGACTTTGTTGTCCCGTTTTCTGCACCAGCTTCCCGTGATCCAAATGACATTGAGTGTTTCGAAGTCAACAGCATCGCTTCGATGGAGTTTCACCCTGCAGATTGACCGCTTTCTCGATTTCTTCGTCTTCTTTCACCCGGAGCAAGCTGTGGGAGTCGAACGATGGGATCAGGCTAGCATCGGAGTGACTTCCAGCGAACAGCGGCATCCCCGTCGGTTCATACCTACCTCGCCAAGTGTTCCATAGCAGGATCGATTCCTTGACCCGTTTTAGCGCTCGTTTCGTGGAAAATCGCCTCGTATTCCTGCTCCAAGATAGCATCAAGGTGTTAGTCGTAAGAGCATCTTCGTCTCGGGACCGCAGACGAGAGATTCGCAACAGATAAGAATCATTATCGAAAAAAAGAAGAGACCCACGTGTGCGAGTTTCTGGCCCGTACTAAATGAAACCATTCGGAGAGCGGTATCCATGTCGGCTTTGTTACCCACAATCATCAACGCTATTTCATCCGTGACCCCGTCCTGGAAAATGGAAGGATCTGTCAGAGCTTTGCCCCCTCCCCATCTATCTGGCTTCCAGGAAGTGGAGTCAGTCCCAGCGCTCACCTGTAGGGCCGACACCCATGCTCTGACGTTTTTGAATGATTCCTCGCTGGTGACGTCGTACACGATGATTACTCCATCGGCTTTCCGGAAATACTGCTTGGTTATGCTTCGGAATCTCTCCTGACCGGCAGTGTCCCACAGCTGGAGTGCTACAGGCCGGCCCTCGACGGTCACTGACTTGACGCGGAAGTCGACTCCTTCCGAATAGAAAAACAGATTCCGTCATTTGGGCCCCGTATAATTCTTGTTCGACAAGTCGCAGACCAAGGAACTCCGACGAGCGGAGCAAGTCGCGGCTCCGGATTCGATCGTAGACCCGAGGCCGACGCACCCACCCCCAGTTTTTACCTATGGTTGCGTTGAACGAAGGAACAAATTGTCCCTGACAGAAGCGGTTGATCAGACTGGACTTCCCCACGGCAGAGTCGCCGACGATGACAACTTTGAACAATCTCTCCGGATGGACCAGGGTTCGCGTTGTTTTGAATTCGTTTGCAGTCACGTTCGGGTTGGGCCGCTGCTGCTGCAGGAACGGGTTGTTGCCTTCGTACCTGGGACTCCGCTGGAATAGATCGAATGATTTGAAGTCAAAGTTCAGGACCCCTTGACAACTTGAACTTCCGACTTTTCAATCCCTTCAGAAAAGAGGAACACTCGGGTGGCTAAGCACGGCTTACTGGGCTCGCAGAAGTTGGAGACGTGGTTTCGTGAACGGCCCACAGGACCTAGTGAGGGGCGAACCAACGATACATGAGGATACGCACATGAACGAACGGAGGTACAAAGATTCGGAATAAAGCTCGACATTCACAAAGGAATCAATCACGTGACCATTTGCCCGACTTTTCTCTCTGCTTATCCATCGAAACTCACGGCCTCGTCGATTCCTCCTTCATCGCAGGTCTGCAAAGGGTGCTCTGTAACGTATCGCGAGCCCAACGGAGAACCTTCCGAGCTCCCGCGGCCACTGGAGCGCGAATCCCGCCCTTCAACCGTGTGTCCCCTGAGGTACGAGTCATCGACTTCGCAATCCTCTCCGTTCCCAGATAGGTCTCCGTCGCCGTTTAAGGTTCTTGTTCTGAATTAGCAGCGAGTCAAGTCTCACGTGAACAAGATGCATCGAATGGAATTCCTTAAGGTGGAGACATGCAATGAAGAGAATCTGTTCGCTTCCGTAGCAGCGTACGAACCCTGAGAATAAATAATCGGAGAGACGACTTCCACGACGCGCCCTGAAGCTGCCTTGACTGGAGCGCGCGCTGCCTTGGGACACCAGGGATACGTCTTCGCCTTCGATAGAAAAATAATCCGACCTTCGTTCCTCGGCGTCCGCGGCCGAAGCCTCCTTAAAAGGTAAGCAAAGTGAGTTCGAGAGTTCTCGTGAGGTTATCCTTTCGGCCAAGGAATATTTAGATGAGGTCGGAACCGAAATCTCACTTTTTTCTCTCTGAGGAGTAGGTTGATTTCATCCTTCTGATCCAGGAGCTGCTTGTTCATGGTCCTGAGGAGGAGAAAGAACTCAAACCTATCCCTACTCAGGAACACATTAAAGGCGAGGCTTGCCAGAGCTGAACATAGCCGGCATGGCTGCGCCAAATCTTGCTCCTATGGGGATATCAATGATCGGATGACTAACCGGAGCATTTCTAATTGCTTGATCAAATTGCCTCGTTCCAAGGCCATTGACTCCGAAGCTTGCAGCGCCGACCTGTTAATATTGCGATGATTGAAATCCGTATTTTTTCTCTCCCTTCCAATCGCTCGGGGCGGCTTATTGAAAAGAGGAAACTCACTGAGCACGAGCTCGCTTCTCGTCTAGGCTCTGTTGACGTAGGGTCTCCATGTAGTTTTGCATTTTTTGCACGACAATCTCAGTTTCGTTCAGACGCTTCTCGAGAGTGTCTCTTTCCTTGAAATTAAAAATTCAGTCAAGGATTTTATTCAAGGAGCTCTCCGTGTTCTTTCAGCGGGCGTCTCCATATCCAAAACCCTGTCCTATCGACTAATTCGAAGAGCTCAGAGGGCGCCGCAGACTTCCCGGATGTTTTTTAGAGGCCGAACGATCTCATCTAAACAAACCTTCTCGAGTCTGGCGTTCCTCAATTTGATGTCGGTCTCCGAGCAATTTATGTCGTTGAATCGCTCTTCCAACTCGCAATGCTTGCTCATCAGCTCTTGTAGTATGCGATCCTTAGTCTGGAGCTCGCTCGCGAGTTCGCCACGGAGCCGATCTTGTCTCTTGCGCTCCTGGGAGGAAAAATCGATCAGGAACCTGGACTTCATCCAGCGAATCGGCCGAGAAAAAATGAATGATATTCACTTCTCTGAGAGCTCGTTCCTTCTCCTGCTTCAGTTGCGATTCCATCTCTTCGTAAAGTTTCTGAACCTCCTCATCTTGTTGCATTTTGCGACTGCAAGTTTTCGAACAGTCTTGAGTTGATTCCTAACGAATCCATCGAGGGGGGATATTCATTGAAGACCGATGAGAGGGAGCTGACCTGATCAAGGCACTCTCCAAGCTGCTGCATTCTTTCTCCGTCTCCTTTATGTTGCCGGTGACTTTCGTGAGGAACTCCTCGAAATTTTGCAACATGGAAGGATTCTCTTTGCTCAGATGACTCCACATCATGCGGACGTAATCCTCGCTGTGAATCCCATCATTGACGGTAATGAAAAACCAGGGGAGCTCTCAAAATCCAGGAAGTAGTCGTGGATCACTCACTCTTTGAATAGCTGATGCGCGCCCAGGCTGTCGAGGAACTCTTCGAACTTCGAATCTTCCTCATCAATCTCGTCGATTTCTTCGACTGACGACACTCTCCGTGCTCGTGATCGGAAATCACCAAAGGCTTCGAGCATCTCTTCCTGGGTACAAGACATTTTCCGCGGCCTCGTGTCTATTCCCATGAACATTCCTGAATCACACATATACATCAGAAATCTATCAGCCAGCCAAGGCAACGAGCAATCAACACGGGCTCCGACGACCGCGCCTTCCTCCTTCGCTTAACTTGCGTAGCGGTTGAGATCGGAAACTTCAGAATATGAAGCGGGACTGGTGTTCCTAGGACCCGTAGTATTAGATTTCCGAAGTGAAATTCTATACTTCTGTCGATTAGTCTGACCTCCCATGTGGGTTTGAGACATCCTTCGAAGCGCAAGGTCGAGAGTTTTTGGCCTTGTCCAAAACAAGTCGATTTTGACCGGGAAATAGATAGAGGGGAAAACAACGGGAGTACAAGAGGTCGCTCGATGAATTCGATAGAATATTCTCGATGAAATTCCTCCGTCAAGAGCGCAAGACCTCGAAGAAGACGGAAGAAGTAAATTGTCAACGCGAACTTCTCTCGGGCCAGTTTTTGTCACGAGACTATTTCGATGTTTTCCCCTCGGTCTGCGCCGCTATCGTCGCGTCCGCAGATCCGTGTTAACTCGGGAGAAGGGAAAGTCGACTGACGTCAAATCGTGTCGTAAGTTCTCGACTCAACACCAACTGGGCTGTGTAAATTTGTTTGTTCCCCGATAGCAAAAATTTTGAGTCAAACATTTTTGCATTTTCTCCCCCACAGAGCCATCGTTCCCACCCTCGAGGAAACGATCTGTTCCTTTTTTCACCATCCCTTGCCGCCATTCGGAAACTCAATCGACATATGGACAACGGCCCTGACCATAGCCTTGGTTTGGCCCGGCTGGAGGCCGGGGCAAAAACTGCGCAGACTGCTGTCTCCAAGTTCAAGCTGCGTTCTATATCCGTAGTTCTCTGAACGTCTGCTGCCCGATCGTCGATTCGACGATAAGCAGGAGGGGAAAACACTCCACATCGGGAGCGGGCCGCGAAGACTCGGCGCGGCCGTAGTCTTCTTCCCGTTTCAATGCATCTAGGTGGGAAGAGGGAGAGACTTACCAAAGCCGTCGGTGAACTCCTCCAGCGTCAGGAAGCCATTACCGTCAACATCGAGTCGATTAAAAACCTCCTCCAGCTGATCCGGTTCCAAGGGTATCTGTCCTTTCAGTCTCTGCATGCATCTCTTGGTGATGAATCCTTTGTTTTCCGTATCACAGAACTCGAACAATTCCCGAGCTTTATCGATCAGTAGTTCCCGGAGCTCGGACCCACCGGAAGCCGATCCGGGGTTCGACGAGGGCATTGGCCGGAGCCCCACATCCATAATGAACCCTGGAAGATGACTGTGCTATATGGGTATTTTCGGTCGAAAAGATCTCTCCCGAATCTCATGACTCTTCTGAGGGAAGAAGACCGCATGCATCCTCGTCGGAATCGAAGAGTTATTTCGAAAATGTTCTCTCCGTCTCATGCGTAATCGATGATCTCCAGTTCTCGCTTCACATGGATTTTAGGATCGGAACAGATGTTACGTCAAGGGAGTACGATGACTCATCCGATTATGGAATAGGCATGGCGGGGAGTAGGGACTCGCCCAAAAATCGGGACACCTCATATTCGAAATGAGTCTGCTATTCCCGAACCATCGAGTCAAGTATTTCGTTTGTTCGGTTCCTGCGTGTGAGATTCCTTCGAGTCCAGAACTCGGACCCTCGAGAGAGTTCCGCCCTTCCCTTTTTCGATTTCCGACTCACAATGGCGCTCGGAATACTTTCTTCGAAGGCATGGTCACTCACCGGAAGATGAGGGGATGCTCGCTGTGAAAGCGAGTCGGCACCAGTTTGGAAATTGGACGTGAGGATGTTCACGAATTCCGAGGAATGAACCGCTGCCAAACTGCCGTTCACGGTCAGCACAATTCGTTGCAACTCTCGATCGGACGTCGATGCTCTCCAACGCTGAACACTCGCTTACTTTCAGTCCGCTCGCTCGTTCGTTTCGTCAGTCTGTCCGTCCGTCTGTCTCTCAGCCTGCCTGTCTGTAGGTCGTTTACTGGAAGAGCCGAAGTTGAACAGCTGGTGGTTACGCACGCTCCTTCCTAGCAACAACGGCGACAACGGCAACGAACCTTCACTCACTCACTCGCTCGCCCAGACCTTAAGGTCTGACTGTCGTGGTCTCTTTCCCGCAAAATGAACATCTCGTTACTCCTGATTAGTTAGCACATTCACGATCGGATTGAGTCGCCGTATTTTTTTTTCTCGTCGATTTCGAAGCGCTAGCCCGGCTGATTGTTGAGCATCGAGTCGGAGCACTCGGAGGCTTTCGTGTCTCGATGCTCATTGTCCCGAGTACGTCAAACCCTGTCAAAATTTCCCAGATCGGCGAACAGCTTCCTGTACGCTTTTCGGATCCTAGACATTCGCGGAGAAAGCTACGCGGAACAGCATCGGCGCAGCCTAACCTCTCGAAGGCTCGTTCACTGTAAGGCCGGAAGTTATACTTCGGCGCCAGAAAGAGGATTCGGCATGAAGTCGCGCTCTCCGGAGAAGCTCGGAGCCTGCGAAATTCTCACTCTCGGGCTTAAAGTGGAGGCCGCTTGAGATATTGCGAAAATGAAACTCAATATGCCCCGAAACTCGAACTCGCAATCGAATCAGGTCGAGTTACGCTCGAGAACATCGAGAAGAGAGCCGACAATGTCGCGGCGAAGTCGATTGTCTCTGATCAGGAGCAAGCCATGAACGTGCAGATATGTTCCATACAGAAGGAAAACCGAGAACTCTTCTGTTCCGTCGCAGTTTCCACTGGTCCGTCGAATTATAATAATAGTCCTCTGGTGGCGGATCTTGACAAAAGTCACATCAAGGGCTCGGACAGACGCCAAAGGCGTCGTCGCTCCCCAGCACACGTGTGGATCAGCGCATCTATGAATAGAATGCATGTTGAGGAGCTTATGCAATCGCTATGAGTTTTCCGTTCGATCGAAACGCGTTAGAGTGCGGGAATTCCCAGGTCTAAGGTATGTGTTCGATGGAGCTTTCTCGGTTCATTCACATTTCGGTAGTCGTACGTTGACTCTTGGAGTTCCACAGGATTCTCGAAGGTCTCGGGTGATTCCGATGCGCCGCGCCGTTCCGCGCTGCACCTCCGCATGGAACTCTTCGGCTCCGCACCAGCTAGAGCGGCGATCGTCCTCATTGAATGGTAGCAAACTGTCAGGTACGCCACGTATGCGTCAACTTCTAACGGTTGTCTCATGATTTTTCTTGCCACGGACCCAGACCTGATGATGGGACAGAGTACCAGCGCAACTCTCCTGCTGCCTCTTGGCGCAACCTCGACTAATATCATACCTGAACCTCTCCTCCGAATCGGGAAGCTCGAGTCCACGGAGAGAAATGTCGGCCGGCCTCGTGCGCTTGGAACCTCCTCGACGCTAGCGGCTCCACCGACTCCAGATCGGAAGCCATCGTACCCCGGACCTGGACCGAAACAGCCTGACTGTGAGACACCAGCGGTCGCTAGCGCGGGATAGGCTGAAGGGACACACCTCTAGGGATCCGCGAACCAGAATGGGCTCATACTCTCAGTCTCGCCCATCGATGAGGACACCTTTCCTTTCCTCATTAGCTAGTTGCCGGGAAGGTACAGACCCACATGGGCGCGCAAGTTCGATTCCGAGACCCGAAACAGAGACTAACTCATGCACTTTTTGATGCAGGGGCTTGAATTACTTTACCACCTGTTACATTATATCTTGACACGCTCCTTTTACCACCGAAAATATACTTCTCGATGGATAATTTCTGAATGCGGTGGCTCCAGATGCTCCGATGATCCGCTCGAGTTACGGGATTGGGATGGTTTTGTAGGGAATTCTAGGCATCACTCGCTATGAATCTTCTCTGTTGACGGATGTCATCGAGAAAGCACCTGGGCGCAGTAGCCTACCCTGGGGCAGGGTCCCAGGGGTCCATGGACCCCCCCCAAAATCTTCATCAGTAATGCTAATGCATACGAGCGGGTACCAATTTTGGACCCTAGGACCCCCGAAATCGGTCTGCCCCGGGTACGCTCCTGCCCGGGCGTCCCTCGCATCGGGCTGCGCACCGGGAAGCTCCAACTCGAAGCTCGTAGCGGACAAACGGATCCCCTCGCGCCCATATTTCCACGGATTTCCGGGCGGCCGATGTCGCTGGGGGAAGGTGACACACGCCAATGTTTGACTCATGGTCCCATTTTACCAAAAATTCCCGCATCACGCCCCCATTTTCGTCTATGTGCAGGAAAGCAATGTGGAAAGCAGCTTGCCGTTGATACGAGGCTTCCTTCGTCAAAGGGCATGCCCACCTATTACCCGACTCCCGCTCTTCCAGAGATACTGCCTGTCCAGTTGAGGATGCCCGTTCATTCCCTCCGTCCTCCAACGAAACTGAGCCCGGTTGGCCCACGACAATAAATCAATCAATCGGATAAATGCCTACGGTATGCTGGGTACTCTCGCAAACGAGCCGCTAGAGGAGTCCCCCACTCCGCAACCCAGTTAGGCGAATCCCTCTGCTCGAAAATGGCCCTTGACTAGGGAGTACCTGTCTATTTTTCCCAAGCCTCGAGAACCTGCGCAAAACTTCAAACGCAGTTTAGAGCTCCCGAGCTCTCACCTCACCCCTCCGTTCGCTACGGAATTCCATCCAAAGCTGTCGAGGATCATAGTATGTTGAGCGAAGCGCAATCATCGGGGACACGGGCCACGAGGTTTCCGAGACAAGCGTCGCTCTGCATTCGGGCTCCACTCTCTCAGTGAATGTCAGTCTTTCGATTCCACGATTTCCGACCATTGATTCTAATTCCGCGCACGAGATGATTGTCGTGATTTCGCAGAGCTGCTCAAGTTGACTCGGAAATCCGCTCTTGTCAAAAGTTCCCAACTCAATCATCTCGACGGAGGTGAGCCACCGATGTGCTCGGAGAAAAGTAGAGCCTCGGTCAGAAAATCGTGAATCGTGGTGAATCGGCTTGGAGTCCCATCGACACGCCTCCGATGGATAGACTTTGCCGAGGGACTGACTCCCTCTCGATTCAATCGCTTCTCCGCAGCTCTCTCTACATCCGATTCTTCGAAGTCGATGCACAAGGGGAAACTTTCCCCTCTCAAATGTCTATGGAATCGTAACATCCGCATTTTGAGGAGGCTATCGAGATCGGTGAACTCCAATGACTCTCTGAGGGGATGGAAAGTTTCCGCGCATGCCACCTTCCTCGCGCAACACAAGGCTCCCAAAGCTCGATAGCTGTGATAAGCATCCGTCGCCAGCTGTCCGCTTTCTGAGCACTTTCGTCTGTCAGAAATTCATCCGTGAGCAGAACGTTCTCAGGTAGGAAACTGTTGTGGGTGAGTAGGGGAATCCTTGGCCGGACAACTCGCAACGTTTTCTCCTCGTCGACTCTCCTTGCCGAGCCGTACGGATCACATTAAAGCATCAGTATTCAAATGCACCGAGAGACGGCTTTCCATGGTAATTCCCTCCTCCCGGCAAACCCGATCTTCCATCGACAGCCCCAGTCTTAGCGGCCTGGTTCCGCGATGCCCCATTCGATCTCTGGCACGGGCTATATGTCTTGAGAATGTGTGACGAGCATGCGAGCGACCATGCAGATGATGATGTGTCGACACAGGTACCTATCTGCTCGAGCAGATACAGCACAAGGATCCATTCCACGAGGTTAGCGAGCGGCTCCAGGATACGAGTGTGGGTGAAAGTACGACCCATCTCTTCGCGTTGCCTCTGGTTTTACCACCAGCCGTTGTTAGAACACCCCCCTTACATCGGTTCTGGATGACGGCTCCGATCAGGTCGAGAATATTGGAAGAGAACGAAGGACAATGACGTAGGAGAAGAGTTCTGATGATGCGTCGATCCTGTCGAAGCCCTTGACTGCATTCCGAAGCCCAGGATCGAGATCGATGCGTCAGTGAGCCTGTACACCATTGATGTTCCAGTACAGGTTTCTCTCCGATTGAAGGAATCCAGCTTTCTGGACTCAATTCTTTCGAAACGCCGTCGTTGCGTTACTGTGCCGTGTCTCATTCGGAGATCCACTTCAGAAGATCAACCCCAGCGGGAGGGATTAATCGAATAGGAGCCCGAGCTTGTCGGAAGCACCAGGAATCGCCCGGGCACTCATAGTTTTTCTGAAACTCCGGGGATGCTGCTCCTACATTTTCACCGCCATTCGATTCCTAGACTATGGAAGCTCCTTTCAGCGTACGGCAGTCTCTCGACCGGCAGCTCTATTGTGACTAAGGAAGATTCAGCACTCCCTCCTAGAGTTGGAGAACACCCTGTCGAGTCGAAAAAACCGCAGGCTCCTTCAGAAATTCCTCGGCACCGTGTGGTCTCGAAATCTACATCTTTGGTAGTACCCGGTACAGAGCGCTCCTGAGACAATCAGCTTGAACGGCGGATTCTTCTCCATCGTACACGCTTCGGCTTGTCGAGAAGCGCAGGAGCTCACGATTTGAATTCTTCCGCGGAACTCACGCGAACTTCACGCTCAGAACGAAGCTCGACGCGGAAGATCAGATGTTCGGTAGCCGCAAGTTTTTCTCTAGGTTCCGATCACATTCTTCGACTTGAACGTCCTGACCTGGGTCACAGGAGTCAGTCAATCGAATGATTGACTGAACCCGAACATTGATTCTCGTGCAATTCCATACTCCACACTCTATTCTGGATTTACGTCGAGAGCAAGCTTCTCGGAGCTCCGGTAGAGTCGCCCGATCTGCTCGAGATTTCAGAAAAGATCATCGGCATCATTGTCTTCTTCCTCTCGCCGACGGGTTCAAATTTCCTTTCGGATTCGTTCCGTTCTCCGCCAATTGATCATCTATGTACCGAATGAAGCAATGTTCAACGGTTCGTGATCATACATACGATGAATGTATGAATATCGCCGTAAAACGGTAGATATCGAAATTTGCCCTGGACCGCTCTGCTGGATGAGGAGCCTCCTCTCTCAGAGAGTCGTCTGCGCCGACGTTCTTGCCGCGAGTTGTGACGTAGTGCCGCCGCATTCTTGCGTCTGTCTGATCTTTGCTTGGCTGACTGGTTGCTTTCTTGGATTTAGCCGTGGTGTGCCGCCACTGCCACCGTCACCGCCACCGTTGGTATCCTCGCACCTGATGCCCGCTTGGCTCTTTTGTCACACCATCGAATGTATGCAAGTGTCTGTGAGAGTGAGCTGCTCTTCAAGAATACCATGATATAACGTTCGGTGCTGGAAATCAACCGTAAAAGTCAATCTTCCTTTCTGTGAGTACCCTGTGATAGGTCCGATGAGGCGGGTCGTCGGGTTGTCCATGATGTCACCTCATCCCGTGCTTCGACGTCATCTAGGGGCACAAGACATCTCGAACAGCTGCTTTGACCGTTGTCTTAAGGGTGATTAAATTGAGAACTGAGACATCGTTTGGCATCGTTTTCGGAAAATTAGCGAAGTGATCCGGTTCAGGATCGGTGTGTCGGAAATCACCCCGATCGCTTCGAGTATCTTCCGTCTCACTCGGAGCGATATAAGAAATATTGTTCGGCGATCCAACTACTGATCCTGATATGATCGACCCGCGATCGTCGAAGATCTAGAACGAGAACTTGGACTGAAAGTCCTCGATCGGCGCTCCACTCCAACAAACTCATCCCGAGTTTCGCGGATCGGAGCTCGAACGAAGTTGCGTTGGGTCTCCCGGACGGGATGAGGAAACTCCTGATCGAGAACTTCTTTCTTGTCGACGGACTGACCGTGACTGTTTCTGTTTGTCTCTTCTCATTGGAATCCTCCGCGGGCTCTCCCCGAGCAACAACGAGCAAGGTCCTCCCGACCCGTGATCCCTATCTTCTCTCAAGAAGCTGACGCGCCGATACGATGTCGTCGTCATAATGGAGAGCTCTCGATTCGACACCATTTTCGAAAATGAGGCTGAGGGTGCGACCGACCGAAATCGAAGATTAGCGATCACAAGATCTGCGAGAAAGCATGAGGCAGAAAGTGTCATCGCCCATGCTGCTGCTGTTGTTTCGAGCTGCGTCGCCGAAACTTATTCGTGATTGTCAAGCATCGCAATGTCTGTGTGCGACTGTCTGTGCACCGGATATCAACAATAAGATGACGCCCGACGAAATCTTCTCAATGGAACTTGCTCAATGACCTGAAAGACCGACCCGTGTTACATCCGAAGATGAATCATTGAGAGAATTCCCGGGGAAGTCCCACTATTTCTCAGCTTCGGACCCCGAGATAGAATCTTCTCCTGGTAGTTCATTGCCTCCGCCGATTTGAAGAAACTGGAGTGAGAGAATCTCGCGTTTGGTTTCGTCCGTCGAGTACGCGCGAAGGCGTTTCTCGGTAAATCGGCATGAAGAATATCGAAAAAGAAGCGCGAAGCTGCGCCGCTTTCTTCGTCTTCAGCGAGCGCCTCGGCATCGGGCGTTAGCCGCACAAATCAGCCTTCCCGGTACAATACACAACACAATCATGTTTGTATCGGGCTAGCCAGATTTGACCACCGCAAAGCCAAACAGCTTGAAGCTGATCGATTTACGTGAACAGCTTGCTAACATTCCAATCGTGTTCTTGCCGGCGCCGCTGCCGTCGCTGCTGACGGCCGGCGAAGACTCGGGCGCGAGCCGCGGTCTTTAAATAGTACTGCAGCCGGAAAAAAATTACGTCCCTGCCGTGGAGTATTCACCGAGCAGTTTCGGGAGCCGAAATGCGAAACTTCATTCGTGCTAAGCAGAAATCGTTTGCCTTGATTTGACTGCGATCCGATGCACCGCGACGACTCGGAGCGAACGCTCAAACAGATACCGCTCGGAGAAGAGCCGATTCTATCTGACAGAGAGGCAGCTCGCAGTCTTCTGCCTGTATATCTCTTGCTTAGCCTCTCGGTCTATACTCCGATGCAGTCGATTAGTTCGAAGGTGATCCGATCGGCAGGAATGCCGCGTTTGACATCGGGGATGCCCCAGCCCATCCCGACAATCAAATGTAATTCTACGCCCATTGAAGGCTGCTCAGGCTCGTCGATTGAACTTCGCTCGGCTTCTCTCTTGGGCCGGTAATGCCTCGTCGCTCCGACGGTGGGATGCTGCCGTCGAGCGGACCGGATAACCGCTCGGCGAGAACGCTGCATATTGTGAGTCAATAGTATCTGCTCACAGAAAGACATTCGTATTGTTGGCGGACCTCATTATAATTGCTCATGAGACATTTCAATTTGCTCATCTGCTTTTATACCACTCGCAGAGCCCGGACCTCGCATAAGAATCAAAACAATTACCGCGGTGGGAGCGCCTGAGCATGTCTCTTTTGTCAATTCGAGACAATCCGGAGCTGCGAGCCGCCCCTGCGGTCAACGCCAACGGGATTCCTTCTCGCTTCCTAGAGGCTGGCGCAAGCGTCCGAGATTATCCTTGGATGATAATCCGCCGGACCGAAGCGGTTATCTCGCGGCCGGATTCAGCTGAGATGCTCACTCGATAAGGCCTCATGATCCACGTCTGGTGACTGCAGGACGTTAACCAAGTCCGGGGGTAGCATCGGTAGACCGAATCGGTTCCACAAGATCATATTTGTTGAACTTTCCCCTCTCTTCCAGGTCGAGGACAGCATTGCCGTCCCGTGCACGATGAGCGTGGTCAATAAATGCGCGAGATGCGAAAAGTCCGTGTATCCGACCGAAGAGCTGAAATGTCTGGACAAAGTATGGCACAAGATCTGCTTCAAGTGCCAAGAGTGCGGAATGACGCTCAACATGAAAACCTACAAAGGGTACGGAATTCCGGATCGATCACTCCTATCCGTTAGCATGACTTATATGGTCATGTCCAGTCTTGCGTCAACATGCGATCTATTTCAGGTTCAATAAACGTCCGTATTGTAACGCGCACACTCCCGTGGCTAAGCATACCACGGTGGCCGATACACCGGAAGCGAGAAGGCTAGCGGAAAACACGAAAATTCAGAGCCAAGTCAAGTATCACGAAGAGTTCGAGAGAAATATGAAAGGCAAAGCTACGCAGGTGAGCAGAATTTTTTCCCGCGGTGGAGATTGACAACGATTGTCCTTGAAGATCATGTTAGCCTTTGGATCATACTCGATCACGCATTCCCTATTTTCGTGTAGATGGCAGACGATCCGGAGCTCCAACGATTGAAACAGACCTCGAAAATAATCAGCAATGTGGAATATCACCGCGAAGTTGAGAAGAAACAAGACATGGAGAACAGGCGACGCTTTGTCGATGGTGGTCTACCCGGAGAAAATGAGAAATCGCACGAGGAGAGCGGCGTTGCGCTCCATCAATTGAATGATGTCCTGGCGGGAATCAATGTGTGAGTGAAACCTTGAAAACTATCAAGTCCTATCTACGCAAGTCTGGCTCGCTCAGAAGACCCCACGTGTCTCTCGGCGGGCTCCATCTAAGCGCTCTCTGGCACCCACAGATCGGAATCAAGGAATTCGTCAACGACGATGAGAGAAATCGGCTATTCGAGCGATTCCTCTTCTCAATCCTTGCGCCAGAGGACCGCAGCGATAGCCCAGCAGAACGCGAACGCGTCGAGCCGCTATTCGGAAGCGTACAAGCTCGCCCAAGATGCCGTGGCCGCGAATCCGAGTAAGCGTCGATCCGGAATTCCTCTAGACTCGAGACGTCCGGTGTCATGTATATTCCGCTAAGCTCTTTCGAACTCTATTCACAGATTCTGATAGGATGCGCAATCCGGACGTGAATAGCAACAACGTCCGACACAACAGTCAATACGTGCAGAATTCACAGTCGTACCAATCCGTTGGCGTCAATCAATCCGCGATAATGACTCAAGGACAACAAGGTTACTCCCGACAGAGTTCCCAGTTGCTCCATTCCCAGAAACCGCACTCCCAGACTCAATCGACGCCATCACAAGGACAGAAACAGCCAACTCAACCTGTCATGCACCCGAATCCGAATGCTCACTACTACATGGCGGGCGCACCAACGCAGATGGCGGGACAATTCGTTCGGCCTCCGTATAACGCCCCTGCAGCTCCTTACTCTCAAAATATCGTTGCCATGAGACCTCAACTACAACAGCAGCAGCAACAACAACAACAGCTGCAACAACAGCCAGGTGCCATGCGACCATCGTCGAGTCAGCAAGCCGCAGCTTATGCAGCTGCGCAACAACAGCACAAGGGCGGCATGTACGCCGGACCGCCGAGAGGTTACGCGCAGCAGGGCGCGCCATACCATCAACAACAGCTCCAACAGCAACAACAACAACAAATGCAGCAGCATTTGCAACAACAACAAATGCTCCAACAACAACAACAAAACCTCGCCATGAGAAGCGGGCAGCAGATGTATCCCCAACAAATTGTTTCGCCGTTCCAGCAACTCCCTGGGAAGTTCCAAGCCATTTACGATTACACCGCTCAGGACGCGGACGAAGTGTCGTTTTCCGATGGCGACTTGATTGTTGAATGCGCCAGAGTGGATGACGGTTGGATGTTCGGGAGAGTCAGCAGGACTGGTCTGAAAGGCATGATACCATCCAACTATGTGGTGCCCGTCTAGCATATTCGGCTGATCCGTACCCCTGTACAAACGATGATTTTCGACGGAATCCTCGGAAAACGATAGAAGCCAATCAAAACTCGATCGTCGACTCGATTGTGAATGATCGTTCGCCGCAGAAAGAACCAGTATACTCAACGAGAGGCCATTCTTGCTTGTGACACTCTGCCATGGGTTTAGTTGGAGAACCGCGCTGTTGTGATTGTATTAAGTGTGACGTGGTTTATCTATAAGCGATCTGAAAACTCATTGTATCTCTGAGGAAGTACTCCATGTTCTCCTCGATCGGATGCTCATCCAATCGGTCGGCTCTCCGGCGGGATGCAGAAAAACGAGGGGATCGGTTCGGAAGGTCGAGAATACATTTCTTTGCTCACGCATTCAAGGCATCTGCAACATCTGTTGCGCGAAACTTTCTGGTGGGGCCCACTCGGAATGAAGCTTCCAGCGGCCGAGAATTGATATCTCGTAGAATATCTTCGGTCGTAGGTTGCTGGTGCTGCTCATTGTATGTATATCGGATTCGTCGTATCGTTGAAGGTGCTGCCCCTGCCCCCTCCATTTCTCTTGGACCTTGCCGGCATCGCAATGACAAATCAGCATGAATATCGCAGCCTGGAGCAGTGTCGAAGCTGCTTAAATTGTACATACGTTCACGAATTATCGGTCGAAGAGGTGCACTAAAACGAGCAATTACACGAGTGCCAAGTTGCCACGGTGAACATTTGGCGTCATTTACTCTAGACGGCGAACTCTTCAGAATACCACAAGTATTGATGAGGTAATCGGAGCGTGGATGGTATAATATATACGAGAATTCTGGAGTGACCCGGAGGATCCGCATAGTGAACAAATAAACGGAAGCTATATCCAACTGATAAGTTCAAGACGAAAGCCTTTATTCGTTGGAATATAGATATGGACAGATGAGGAAATTCGTCCATGTTCAAACCATCAAAAGCAGACTTGGGTTCGTCCGCACAACATCACACTTCTTGCGCGTGTCTCATCTCGGACGGTGTATGCAGCGTTTTTCAGAAATTCAACGCCTCGACTTTGAACTGCTGTTCATTTTCCACCAAATATATCATGTCAGCCATCGTTTGCTCAACCATGTTCTGTTGAACCGCTTCGCTTATCTGAAAATGAAGAGATGTGCTTGAGAAACGGCCGGACAAGACTATATTTTCTCGCACTTTAAGCGGGCGAGCCGACAATTGTCTCGAGTTCGAACGCTTGAAAACAATACCGCTCTATATTTGTATCCTCTGGGTGGGAAGCGGAACCGTGGTCCGAAATTGGCCTTGATCGTGGCATTCTTGTAGAGTGAAATCGCCGGATAATACGTTCCTTCGTAGAGGTTCTCGAAAGCCACTCCTTCTAGTTTCCCATTCTTGAAGAAGGATACTCGGGAGCCCTTCAGCTCGACGAGATTCTTCACTGCTTGCGTGGCTTTATCTGCATCCTCGTAATACAGATATTGTTTGAACTTCACCAGGGGCCGTTCTTTGTACGTTGTAGGAAGCTTGACCTGAGGAAATCAACCTGAATAAGCCTCCCAGGAGTCGCACCTATCGAAACCCTCATCGATCCTATTTTCCGGAGTGGTTTCTGGCAGAAAAGAGCTCTACTAAGCTCTTCCGTACCTTATCCGAACTTCGTGGCAGCTCTATCAAGAAGCCTACGACATCTCCTTTCCCGAAACCGGCACTGAAATGTTTCCCCAGTGACTGGTGAAACTTGGTTCCTTTGCGACTCCTCCACGAATAACCGAATCTGTCATATCCTAAAGGCGCTTGAAGATTTCCTAAAGGCATCGAGTATCCGATTCGAGCGGCGGAGTTGTCCGGTAGATCTTGAATGATCGCCTCGAAGTACCACGAACCCTCCGTGACTCCGTGCGTAGCTCGAACCATTGAATATCTAAAACATAGAACTCGGTCAGGCAACCGTGGACGCTTCACTGCATCCTTCAGGTCGCAAATGAAGCCGGAGTTTCCATCTCACCCCTTATCGCCCGTAACGCTAAGCCTGTCGTCTGATATCTTCAGTTGCGGAGCTCGGTCGTGCATCGCCAACAGAACCTGAACCGAAACTACGATTGAGAACCAGCGCTATCGGAATGTTATAGGCGAACAGCAAACCTCGCGGGAACTCACTTTCTCGGGCTCTAGTTTCCTGTACAACCATCCAGGAATCGGTTTCCCCGCCCAGTCGACACTTTCATCGAATTCTTGTTTGAAAGGAGCGTGGGGATCGGGTTCCGCCAAGAAATAATGATAGCCGTCCTTATTGAATGGATGCTCGTTCGGGTAGCCATGAGCCGGCAATCTCGGCATAACCAAATCGCTCTTCAGCTTGCACTTCGGAGAATATCCAAGATTATTACTTCAGCATGACGTCGATCATGTGGGAATATCCGATTCGATGCTCGGGCTCAATATGAAGCCGATGGGCTCCTGTTGCAAAGTGAGTGCCGTGACGAGACTCACCTTGCCGCCGGGTACGGTTTGCCCGTCGGGCAGCTTCCGTTTCGGACCCCTTCTAGTTTGCTGGTTCTCCTGAGTTCGCAGCAACTGCAGTTTCGAGGATGCGTCGTAGGAAGGCATGATACCGTAGAGATCAGGGTCGACCAGGCCGAAGTAGACATCATCCTGATTTATGAACAAGGATGATTCTTTTTGCTGTAACAGAAAGACAACTCTCCATCCTCAATGAGGTTCAAGGCCGGCTCCGGGGTTCCCCAAAGGATCTAGAATTCCTTGAATCGGCTCCTCCAATAAGACGATTTGATTGATTACCAAGGTCTTCAGGATGGTTGTATGCCACGTTTGGGTGACTCTGCGTGGGCCAGTCATCAGCAGTTCCCAGTTGCTGTCGATCCACGGGATGATTTCTTTGTCACGGGAGAACATGTTCTTGTTCGTACCGTCCTCACGACTCTTGAAAAGGAGATTTGCCAGCGCCGTGATGCTGACTTGTGAGAAACCTGGAGCGAATGACAGACTTCGGACACAGGTGTCGGAGCGGGCTATGCGGTTCAATCGATACATGACGTCCATAGAATGAGTATGATGTTCAATATGCAATACGCTTGTCCCCCTCCCTCGTCCCGAGCACTCACCTGCTGTCTTCTTTTGAAATAGTTCGCAAGAGTTGGCGTTACATTTCTTGCATATGAAAGCATAGTTCATCATGAAGGGAACGCAGCGCGGGATACTGATCGAGAGACATTTCTCGTGGAACCATCGATAACATCCGACGCACTGCATTTCCATTTTGCCGAGGATGCGTTCCGTTCCGCAATAGCACTGGTTTGTTTGCCTGGGATGGGCACAAGAAATGAGGGGGAATGGAAAAAGCTGAAATCGCCGGGAATCGGAGATCCTTGATTCTCAGGGAGGACATTCGTCGATCGAACTCACTTAGCGCCAAGGGTTTGTGCTGCCTCTTTAATCAGACGTTCGGCGTCTGATTCAGTGCTGGAGCCCTCCTCTGTGATCATGTCGTCAGTGCGTTGCTGTGTCGTCATTGAGTCCTCATCCATGATTCCGACTCACGAGATCAAAATTATTACAAGATGCAAAACGTCAGTTCTATTGTGATCGTCGCTGGTCTTCCGATCAGACAATCGGTAGCACTCCACAGCACTCGAACAACGATAGTCTCTGCATTGAGTCGAGGAGCTCCGAGATTTCCGCACAGACTAGGAAAACTGTCCGATTGGGTTAAATGTTTTTTTTAAAAGCTATTCGCGTTCGTTCCTGTGAGTAAGACAACATTCGAATTACAAAGCCGCCGCCGTTGCAGCTGAAGATATTTCGTTCCCTGGCGGCCGGCTACGACAGCAGCAGCCGTCCCAGTACGAGTGGTTTCGGATTCGCCCGGCAGATTGGATTTCCGCCGGTAGACGAATCATCATATGCCGAGTGAGTTGCAGGCGGGAGTCCCGGAGTCTCCGGGTATCCAGGGTCGCTGAGGGTTCCGGTGTAGATGGCCGGGACTTTGCCTGGGCGTAAGCATCAAAGATTATCCGGAACGAAGCGAAGGCCATCCCTTGGTGAAATTTCTCATTGGCGGACGGCTCATCGAGGGATACATCTTGAGATTTCCGAAAGCTGCACGGGCTCCATCATTACTGGATCCTAGATCTAGCCCTCCGAGCATCTCTCTGACGGGAATCCATACTACTCGATATAAGTATGCTCGCTGTAAGCGACCCCGGGGGAAGTTTTCAACGGAGCAACTCGATCGTGCTCAACAGAGAGCTTGACCGCTCGGGCGAGCTTTCGGCATGGCCATCGGGGGTGGAATCTCATAAAGTTACTCGAACCTTTTCGAGCTTTCTCATGTGTGAATAATGCAGTTCCTTGGCAGGACATCCATTGAAGAGGCGCACTTTTCTCCTTGTATTCAAATTTTCCCGCTCATCAATCACCCGTGCTCTTTTCGCTTCTTGTCGTCTTGCTTCTCAACGAATTGATTAGTGAAGAGCGGCGGAGTCGAGTCTAAGCCGGGAACGCAACCCCTGGACAAGAGGAATTTATCTCAAACGCAAACAGAGGTATGACAGAGAAAACTGAGACCGAAACCAAAACAACCCTAGGGCGGATGTTAGCAGACGCCGCCCAGCGTTGGGTCTTTTCGTCTTGTGCCCTCGTAACAGCGGCTTGAGTGCGTTAGTTTTTTCGATTTATCGTCGATATTAGTGATGAGTTCGAGTTTAGGTGTGGGGTATCAGTGGAAGCAGTCAAAAGAGACGCTTTGGCAGCGCTTTCCGGCGGCAAGTGGGCTTAAGAGCGGGTTCGCGAAAAGTTTTCGCGGTGCTCGTCGAACACGTGTATCGTCGCTGGTGCAGTCTGGTAGCCTTCATTGAGCACAGACATACCTCTTGTGGAGACGAGAAATCCAACTTACTCCTAGCACCCATTCTCAGTTCCGATTTTTTTCTGCCCGTCGCCTTGAGAAGACGCCCGGTTCGAATGTTGTTTCTGTCGGAGTTGAACCATGCTCCTCTCGCCCTGTGCACGACGTGCTCTGCTATGGACTTCATAGGGGAATGTTTTCGTGTTCTAGGATCATTATGGCAGATGAGGTGGAGGCCCTATCGTCGGTGGAGACGCTCGACATTAAGCTCTTCGGCCGCTGGTCGCCCGCCGATGTCGAAGTTAAGGACATCGGTCTCCAGGACTACATCGCCGTGAAGGTTTGTAAGAGCGCTACATTTGCCGGGAATCCCGGCTCGGGGTCGAGATTCATTATCGATATCGCTGCGCAGGAGGTCAGTCGCCGGGTTTTTAAGCATTCCTCGATCGCGTTTTCAGGAGAAGCACGCTAAATATCTGCCTCACTCCTCCGGACGGTATGCCGCCAAGCGTTTCCGCAAGGCTCAATGCCCGATTGTGGAGCGTTTGACAAACTCGATGATGATGCACGGACGTAACAACGGAAAGAAGATGTTGGCGGTCCGTATTGTGAAGCATTCTTTCGAAATCATTCACTTGATCACGGGTGAGAACCCACTCCAAGTTGTTGTCAATGCGATCATCAACTCGGGACCTCGTGAAGATTCGACGCGTATCGGACGTGCCGGTACCGTGAGACGACAGGCCGTCGATGTGTCTCCGCTCCGACGAGTGAACCAGGCCATCTGGCTCCTCTGCACTGGAGCTCGCGAGGCTGCCTTCCGAAACATCAAGACCATCGCCGAATGTCTCGCTGACGAGCTAATCAACGCCGCTAAGGGCTCGTCAAACAGTTACGCCATCAAGAAGAAGGACGAACTCGAGCGTGTGGCCAAGTCTAACCGTTAAGGTACTGTCATCACGTCGATCCATCGGGCCGATTTACCAACGAGGGACAATAAATGTCGCTGCGGTATCGGATGACTATTCATTTGAGACCTTCAATTAGGGAGAGATTGTCTGCACGTTCGGATGCATAGCTGTCGGGCTCAAGCTAGCAGTGGATTCGTGGAGGATTTCAGGCAGCCGCTTGCCCCGGGTGCATCCTAAGGCTAAGATTCGAGTCCGGGATATAGGACCCCTTATAGAGATCGATCGATTCTCGCTGTTCTCCTGATCAGTCACATTCGCTCATGAGATGACCCTTTGAATACCGTCACATGCGGGAATTCATGAGGTGACCGAAAGCTCCCGTGATCCGAGCGATAGGAACGCGGGAGACGAGTTTCGGACGCACGCCTGTATCAGCGGTTCTCGATTTCTTTTCAGCGCGGGACACCCTCCAGAGTCCTCGACTGTGCTCGGAACCCTTGCGATGTCATTTCAATAGTACTAGTCGGTGGCTTCACGAAACAAAGAATATACCTATTCCACTCTTTCGTTGAAGGGCCCTTCTCACGCAGAGTGAGAGATTCCGACGCCTTACGGGTAGTCGATATTATTGCAAGCCATGTCGTATGTATTTCCCCAGAGTACCATGACGTACGTTAATTTCAGCGACCTTTGGGACCCCTGAGGATGGCAGCCGGGGCTCCCTAGGGGTCCAAGGACCCTCTTTCGGGACTCCCTTGGCCAATATAGTAAGGCGCGAGAAAGTGAGGAAGGAACCGAGTGTGCGCCTCATTCAGAAACCTTGGATTTCCCTCATCCACGTTGCTAGGTTCCAGGAGCTATTCAGTTTCGAAACTGGAATGCAATGGTTGTTCCACCTCTGACGCACTCCGGAAACTCTGATGGGGAAGAGGGACTCCCGTTCGGGAAAAAAACACTGCAGCGAGGACCTCGAATTTTCGCGAGAAGCGTTTTGCTTGCCTGGAAGAGCGGCACGGATCTTGAGTTGGCGCGCTCCCCCGACATCGAAGACGCTGTCGATCAAAGAAACAGAAGTGAGGGGTAAGGAAGAGCCAGCCCCGAGACCACGCGCTCTCATAATTAACAGAGGATTCTCGGCGTCTGACTGACTGAGCAAAACCTGAGACCTTCTGATGTTGAGTCTAGCGTGTCCACGGCAGGGCTCACCGAGCAAAGTCGGGCGGAAGCGGTGCAGCTGGTCGGACCCGTTCAATATCGGCGCCGCGGGAAAATCTTCTTCAATTTAGCAGAGGACTCATCGTCAATGGGCGTTTTGTTATTATTACCGACAAGAGCCGAACGCCGTGGCTTGTCATAGCTTCTGGCGAGCATGTTGTGATTTCCGGCTTTCTCTCTCTCGAAAGGAGGCTTCCTTCTTTTCCTTCAACTCTTTCAAGACATTCGGGTTCCAAGTCTCTTCCATCTCCCTCCTATCCAAACAACGCCAACGACTGACCCACATCGCGGAAAGCTACTCTTCCAGAGGTGGTTGAGACAGTCGACGCGTGCCGTGAGCCACTCGAAGAGGAGTGAACACTGTGAGCATTGATGATCTCGTGATAAAAAGTCGCTCTGAACCCCGTGAGCTCAGCTCCGAGAGCACTCGAGAGAAATGAAGAGAACGACAAGCGTTGACTCATACGGTTGTGCAAGCAGAGCGTCTCCGGAGCACCTCCGACTCAAATTGACAAAGTAAGATATTCCGGGAGTACGTGTGAGATCCGCGTCGTTTTGATCGGGTTTTCGATAGGACTCCGGCGATGAACTCCCTTCTTATCCGCTCCCAGCCCGGCCGGAGGGGTTTCTTTGGGGGCATCGAGTCCACGTTCAACTCCGAGACTCGTGTGGAGCGAATCTCAAGAGCCGATCATTCCCGAGACCTGCATATCGGTGGACAAGTGGCGGGAGATAGATCTGGAATCGCCAACGCGGCGGGAGACTTGTCAGTCTATCCCGCGCCCCAGGCTCAGCAGAAAGAATAGTTCTCAGTGATTTGACTCATTGCTCCGGCATGATCCATATCGTCTTTGATATCCTGCATCTCGATTCGGAGTAGGCTCAGGAAGAAGCCGTCGAAGGACTCCAAGCTACTACTCGTGGTGAGCCGGGTTCAGCTCCGAATTCCTGACTCCTTCTACCATCGCGCCCTCATCTCGGCTTCATAATGGGTGAGGAAGATTGCCTTGTAGACTGGCCTTTCCTTCAAGTTTCCGTCCACGTCGGGCTCGTGCGAAGAACTCGCTCGCTGTAGCCCGACGAAGGGAGTCATTGACGTTCGGGGAATGAGTATTTCAGAAGCATGTTGGAGGGGCTCACACAGCAAAGAGAGCACCTCGTGGCTTGCCGTTATATACGGACTGACCGGATTGTCTTAGCGATCTCAGTGGCACCCTCGCAGGATTTGCGCCTTCCCTGCTCGGAAATCGATCCGAACCTGAATCTCTATTTCATTCAGCGAGCATTTCCGGAACTAAGCAAAGGGCGCCGAAACCGCTCGTCGTCCTGATTCCCCGAGTACCGAGCTTCAGAGAAAAATATTGATTATTATCAATCCTTCGAAGTCGGATCGTTGTCGTCATTACCGATCCGGAACGATGATGAGACCATCATCATCGTCGTCGCGTTGACTGGACGTGTTCTGGACAATTTTGTATCGGAGATTGTGTTGATCATAATGAGGGGAGTTTTCACATAAGAGTTCCGACCCAGGATGCCGAAGAAGCCCTGGATGTTGTTTCAGTAGTCTCACGAAATCTCGAGGAGCAAAGAGGTTCTGGTTGAACAGACCGAGCCGCGCGGAACCACAAGTGAAAATCTTCCCGGAGCCTTCCGATGAGTCTCAAGGATATTCAAAGCAAGGAATTGGTTTTGCAAGTTGAAACACTGCGCAAGAAGAATTCTTTGACTTCCCGGTGACAGCTGAAGTGTTCTGATACTTTCTTGCCATACGATCACACCCGTTCTGGAACGCTCACTTGTACACTGGGAAATAATGAGATTTTTCGTTTAAAAAATATGACGATGTACAGGAGTTCGTCGGAACGTGGCAAAAATGCTTCGGTCAGGGACGGTGGCTACTGTTCGCAAGGAGATGATCCGAATTTTCTGTCAATCACATTTCCCATTGTGTAAGATCGTCACGTGGGCGTATGCGGCGAAAAGCGCAATCAAAAGGAGGGATGAAGGAGGCTCACGAGTTTCGAGTCAATTTTTGAGGATATCTCGAGAGCGACCCGCATGACGAGAGTTATGATCCGATGCAAGGTCAGGTTCCTCTGATCGGTTGCCTCCGAGTCGACTAAGACCCCTATTTTGCAGGGACAATTTGGTCGCGCGGTGCATATCCAGAACGTACTGCTTGTAGACACCCAATCGAAGGAAAAGGAGCGAAGGGCTGAATCTTTACTCCAAGAGCGCTGGAAGGGCCAGAAAACGCTCCAAAGCTCTGAACAGCTTTCGTGGCGGCAGCTCACGGCGAAGCGCGCAGAATCTAAGATCAAATGAGTTACAGTATTTTAATCACTGCGGAGGCGTTAAATGGCTGGCACTTGAGCGTCGTCGTGCCGGCGCCAGGGGTTGCCATTTTCTTTGTAGAGGTCGGATGTCGCATGCGCGGCTCTCAGCACAGAATACGATTTTTTCGACCGTTCACTGAACACCATCGCCACACAGAAGCGGCGCACGATTTCGCGCTCTTCCGGAACTTTGGATTCGACAGATTTCAACAGATTCCCAACCAATAGCTGGGAACGTGTAATCATTTGGAATTTTCGAAACGCTCTTCATGCAATCGTCTCTTGATGCGGAATGGAGTGTAGCTCGTCTGGGACAGCGTCTAAGGATGTCATGCTTGCCGCTCTGTGCCGGGATCTGAGACAACGGTTCTCTGTTCGTGCGGGAAAGCCGGCTCTCGGCCAGCTGTTGATACCAATCAGATTGTTTAGGTGGACACGGCTGTTTGTTGGAATTTTTGATAATAATAGCTGAGCCGGATTGTGTTGTTGTTCGCTTCCGATGATCTCAATGGTCTTCGCGGCCCACCCACCGCAAGGTGCGGCTGTCGGAAGTTTCGTGAGGTCCAGCTCTGGAAACAAGAATGGCTCCGAGCTAGGGATGTCATTGGATGTGTATGGGAAGAAGGGAGAAAGAGATGACTGAAAAAGAAAGTCGAAAGAAAAGACATGGCTTCACCGTAGATGAATCTCGCGAACTGCGTTCGGTACGGAGAACGGTGCGCAATTCGATCGAAGAAAGAGGATCGCGCGCTTGAGAGTCTTTCCGAACGAGATCTCCTGGGGAACGGCTTGTTTTTCTCGTTCGATTTTGATGTTCTATCCGGGTATGCAATCGTAGATCTTTCTGTGTTCCCTGCGTAGTATTGTCGTTGCTATTGACACATTGGCTCAAAACGGCAAGCGGGACCCTCACTTTAAAAGTATACGTGGGACGTCCCAGGGTTGACTCGACGGCAGTCCTTCACGCAAACTTCGCGAGCGTTGACGCTCGCTTACGAATAGTCGGGCGCCAGAATTCGAAGCAAGTGCGGAGTGCCAGGCGCCGACGAACTCGTCCGGCGACAACGATGAAATGCCTCCTCTTGTGAGAATTATCGAGTTCGGAACCCTGTTGGAGCAGTGGATAGTGCAGCCGTAGTTCGAAGAGATTGTGCTCCAGCTCGAAACGCGGTGGGAGGCTCTCGGAATCACTATGGATCTCTCGCTGAAAGACATCCAATACGTGATTAACAATGCGGATTACGTGCAAACTCTGGCCACTGGTGAGTGCAGTCCTCTATTCTTCTGAGAGGCTTCATTTCCAACGGGAGCGATCCCAGATCTCAGATGAATGAGCCTTAGCTTAAGCGACTAGGAGTCCCCGATCTCGGACTGATCGAATCAACCTCGGTAAAAAGCATCAGTGCGGCGCGGCATTGAGGACCCTCGCGGATTGCCGCTGGCTGAGGCACGATCACTCCGAGTTCGTTGTCGGTGTTGCTGTCTCGACCTCGGACCGCGTACTCTCCGAATCTCGGAGTCGGACCTGAGGCTCGCTCTGAGCAGAGCAGGATTATGTCTCGTCCATCCGGATGCGATAGAACACGGACTCGTCGGTGAGCCCCGATCATCGTTCTAGACAGGGTGGAGGATACTCATCGTGGAGCTATTGGTCCTATCTCCTCGCAACGGCAAAACCTCTATTCTCTCGGCAGCCATGCATTCTGGAAATTTTCCGACTCGCCTTCCATAACAATCGCTGCGTGAGGATTCACATGCCGAGGAATTGAATGGTCACCCCTTGATGCTCGATTTTGTGTATAGTGTCCAACTCATTCGACCAAGGACGACTTACTCATTCGTCTACTCCCACAAATTGATAATGGCTGCCCATGGTATAGCGGATATAAGATTGCTAGGCTGGCTCCTTCATTTCTGCGTCCCGCATATCAGAGTTTCAATCCAAGGTAGGACACCCCTGACGAAAAAATCGGGAGCGGAGCCGAATCTTTCCCGATACCGATAAAGATGCGCTCGGCGATTCTGTGTGGTCGAGATCGTCGGAGCCTAGAGCTTCAAACGAGCGGGAAAAAATGTTGTCTTCCTTTGTCCAGAGTGTTCCTGCTAGCCCCAAATCGGTATGTGGCCCTCCACCTCGATTCGAGAATCTTCTTCGGGAGCGGGAATTCCGTCTGTTCCTTAGTACTCCCAAGCGATGGGATCATGAAAAATCCGTCCGGAATTCGGAGCCAGCTCCGCTCAAAGCTGATCAGCTAGTTGAGCGATCTTCAATCGACATATTACAGTGAAGCTCACAGGCACGACTGGTGATACGCTTCTGTGTAGAGACTATTCGATTTTTTCGGAGCAGAAAACAATTTCCATTGGATGTTCATCTCGCCAACCCCCGTTTATACGAAACGGATGACTTAGCATTACGTAGGCAGGAGTGGGCTAGCGAGAAGCGAGCGAGCCGCCAAACGCACAACTGAACCAAATACGGATCCCGAACTGGTCGCGGACTATGCAGCGGACAAGATGTAATTTTCGTAGATTTATACGACTCCGAAAAACCGGCCGGCTCTGCGAGCACGACTCGAAAGCGTTTCAGTCGCTTTTACCGAATGAATGTTGATCAATGCCGTCCAAGTTCCATCTTGGAACGGGAGTGAGGAAAGAGAGCTAAAAGCTGGAACTTCCGAACTAGATGGGGGATGAGCGGCCTCCCTGAAAATTCCGCACCTACTAGTTTGAAGCTTCGATCGGTTTCGAATCGAGCGCAGGAACGATATCGTTCAACGGACCATCAATCTCAATGAAATCTCTCGCTTTGCGGAGAAGAATGACGGGTAGCGTCGAGGCTCTCGACATCGTCTTGCTCTTAAATTAATGTATTACATTCATTACTTTAGCTCTCGGAAGCAGTGACGGTGCCAAGAGGAAGCAGGTTATCCAACTACTGTCTGCGGTCTGCGTTTACAACAAAGATCATGGATACAGGAGAGTTCTCGAGACACTAGACCACCTCAAGGTAAGCTTGATCGCAGTTCATGTGGAGACTCCCGACTCCCTACCGATGCACGGTCGGAAATACGGGTAACACTCATAGCATGTAAAATCCGCAGACCAATCAAAATAAACGCTACCGGTTGGCGTTTATCGTGGAAGAACTTCGGGATTGCTCGATCCAAACGAGCGATGCCTTCCGATCGGAATATTCCGCCGCTCTCCTGGCGCTCATCAACTGCCTCATCATGTGTGCGCCTTCGCTCCAGGAGAGAGTTGCGATTCGGAACCAACTGCTAGGATTGCGCCTATACGACGCTGTTGAGTTGATTAAGTGAGTTAGAAACTGTTTCTTCGAGCCCAGGCATATTCTCAGAAATTAATTGCAGGACCTCGTTCCGGAGCACGGACTGCTTTCTGGAAGAGCGTCCGAAGAGACCTACCGAGCTTTGAACAACTGTCGAATCAGGTGGCTCACCCATGAACTCATCGAGGACGCCGCTAGTTTGTTACCACAAACGGTGGTCAGCTGGCTCGTGGCGCAGCAATGCACCGACTGCTCTATCAGTTCAAACGCTCAGTGAACGTTACGACCTGTCTCAGTAGTGCAATGCTTTCTCGATTAAGACTCCGAGGGAATACGTGAGGCTGATCCCGTTCTTGCTACCTACAGGTTGAGACGTGAGGCGGGCCACTTTACCAATGATACGATGGTGCAGTTGGACGCGTATGAGGCTCAACGCTACACCGATGAAGGTCAAATCAACGGGCCCGATGGTGTAGATCTCAACTCGCATTTGGAAGTTTTCTATGCTATACTTCGACAAGTTTCGCTGACTCCCCAGCAAGTGCCCTTTCTCACCATTCTCCAGAACCTTCTCCGCATCGACTACACTCAAGTAGGATCTCGAGTATAATAATTTCCTTTCATTTGACTTCCAGCCTGATGTAATTTCAGACTTTCAATGCAAACTATTGTTTTCAAAAAAAAACTCGCTGTAAGAATTCATGAGTTCGGTTCGGAAGATCTCCGACGGTCGACGCTTGCGCCGTCGGTGAATGGGAACCGGTGGTCGGTTCCGATGATCAAAGCTCCAATCTTTTCTCCCCTAGCCGATAGCCGATGTTATTTGGACGACAGCTTCGAAACTTGTGGAAAAATCGCTTTCCGTCGAAACGCAACAGGATGCGGATAGACTTCTGTTGAAATGCAGATGCGGAGACCGAACGCCACGTGGCTCCCCTCGGGTTTTGACTCCGCAACCCACGTCTTCTCCGCTTGCTGCCGCTTCTGCTAGCGCTACTTCTGTCGCTCCGCCGCCACCTCCTCCGCCTCCTCCACCACCACCGCCGCCACCACCACCTCCTCCTCCGGTATGATCGAACTTCGACCGACGGTCTGCTATCAAATAAGTGTTACTACAGACAGATCGATTGTTTTTACGACCCGGAAAATTAACTCCTTACTCCCGCTCACAGGGCTGCGGAAGGGATTCTATTGGCCCCCCACCGCCACCTCCCCCCCATGTGAGCTCTTTGGGGCTGAAATCTGGGAAACCGAACGCGGCGGCCGTAGCTCCTGCGCAACTCCTCCCACAGCAATGGACTCCAAAGCCAAAGAATAAAATGAAAACTCTGAACTGGTGCAAGATACCTGCTGGGAAGGTCCTCACCGGTGCGTTGACTTCCTGTTCCATCGGAGATTTCCACGAGATTCCCATCGGTAAATGATCGTGGGAAAACTGTCGCGGAATGACGTCTCGATTCTCTGTCTAGGAAACAATCTTTGGGCTCGGATAGCTCAGTCTCACGAAGGGATAAATGACGCTCTATTGGATTTCGATTGCATGGAGGACCTCTTCTGCCAGCAGCCGTCGACACCTCAGCTGCAGCGACGGGCCAGTCAGCGGAAAATTCAGGAAGTTCGTTGAAAGTCCGCTCTCTCTTCGGGAGATGTCCATGGGTATCGATATCGCCGCGGAAGTGGAGTCTTTACTCGTTTTTCTCATTCTCAAGGTGACCCTGCTGGACGGCAAGCGATCACTGAACATTTCGATCTTCCTGAAACAGTTCAGGTCATCGAACCAGGAAATCGTGATGATGATCAGGAACGGTTTACACCAAGAAATCGGTCGGTGGTCTCAATTTTTCCAAAATCCAAGATTTGAATCCATTGCCCGAAGCGTGTAGGCAAGACCCTGAATTTTTCCTTGCAGGAGCTGAGAGACTACGGGGTCTTCTGAAGATTCTTCCAGAGCCCGAGGAAGTCGACCTCCTCAAGAACTTTGAGGGCGACCTTTCCAAACTCGGCGCAGCCGAGCAGTTCCTGTTGGAGCTGATCCTGATATCGGACTATAAACTTCGCATCGAATGTAGGTGTGACGTGTAGAATCACGAGGATTCATTATGTATCATGACTAATGGAAAAGTGAGAAAATAATCATAACGCAAGTTGTAATGAAGAGAATATCAGTATACAGCATGCCTGGAGTTTACAGTATATATGTATATATTTGTATGTGTGTATATGTCACTCAGTTGATTTGACGATATAGAATGAGGACTCTTAATGATATGCTGCATGAAACAGGTCTGCTGCTGAAAGAAGAATTCACGGTCACCATCGGCATCTTGGAACCTTCGATAAAATTCATTCGATCCGCTGCGCGCGAAATTGAAGAAGCAGTAAAATTGCACGAAATCCTCTACATGATCTTGGTGGCTGGAAACTTCCTGAATAGCGGCGGCTACGCGGGGAATGCGGCAGGTTTCCGCATGATGTCCCTCTTGAAAGTCACCGACATGCGGGCAAATCGTCCGGGGATGAATCTGATCCACTACGTGGCCATGGTTCGAACCTCGAAACATAAACCGATAGATCAGAGTCTACCTATGAGAAAGACATCCAACCATAAGCCCGTATCCCTTCGTCCCCATGACCGATGTTCTCCTCCCGGACTTTCAGGAGGCAGAACGCAAACAGCTCCTCGACTTTGCCGACCGACTGGAGTCACTCGAGGAAGCTGCCCGGCTTTCGATAGACACTCTGAAAAGCGACGCGAGCGCTCTCACATCGCGCGTGGCCAACGTGTGCAATTTGGTGGCGCACGCCAACAGCGATCTGCAGCTCCAAATGAAGGATTTCCTGCGGAGTGCGCGGAACAGAATCGAGAATACGAAGGATCAGATCGAGAGACTCGAACAAGTCCGCGTCCATCTCGGGACATTTCTGTGCGAAGATCTGGAGACTTTTAAGCTGGAAGAATGTTTCAAGTTCGTGAAAATAATCATATTTATCCACATGATTTTGCGTATCTGCGCCACCATAGAATTGTCAGACAAGGTTTTTCTTTCTTCTCTTTGAAAAATCAGAGTCTTCTGGAATTTTTGTCTCAAGTTCCGCACTGCTATTGAGGATAACGAGAAGAGAGCGGAGCAGGAACGCAAAGCTGAAGCTAGAAAACGTGTGAGAGAGGACCAACTCAAGAGATTGAGTGTGGAATTCTCGGGCAGTGAATCTGACGTCATGGACATGCTGCTCGGCGATATCAAGTCCGGATTCCCACAGCTATTCAGTAAAGTTCGCCGCCTACGCAGGTACGTTGGTCTCTATCAGACGCAATGGTTCCCACGTCGAGCCAGACGTTACGATCGATCTTCACTGGAAGAATTATTTTCCGCTTCAGAACTGACAACAATTCGGAGGACGATTCCGCATCACTGGGTCTTGCGAGCTCCCCACGTTTGGTTCGTCGGTCCCAGTTCGGGTCGTCGCTGGCTTCGATGGCCGACAACGAGAGTCCTGACGTCACTCCGACTGGTTCACTTCGGAAGCGACGTAATCGATCTTCCCCCGAAATCGATGACAATTCTCTTCTCGATTATCTCAAGCAAGCCGAACAAGCTCAACAGCAAGGTATGTCACTCGCAACTCTGAGATACAGCTGTCCCGGAAAGGGATCAAACGCTGAAGGTGAGCTCCGTGGAAGCAATTTTCTCTCGATGATTCGAAAAGCTGTTGCAGGTTGGCACCGTCGATCATCTAGACGTCTGAAGACTGAAAATTCAGAGAATCCGAATCTTGAGACTCTCCACGAGAGACCGAAGAATATCGAGGATATCCAGCAGAGGAAAAAGACACCGGAGCCAGTGACGAGCCCACCCGTCCAAGCCAACCAACAGGAAACGTCCTCGAGCTCGAAAGCGGGAAGCAACGGGAATATCCCTGCCGCATCTGAAGGTCTCCCGGAACGCCGCACGTCCCTCACGAATGTTGTGCGTCCGATGATCCAAGCTCCGGGACCTTTGCCGAGCGAGCCCGTGGCTAGACCGCTGATCCGGCTCCCCGCCGTAGATGACACCGACACCTCGACCGGTGGAGAAAGCCCAGTACTCATGCGCAGATTGTCTTACAACAACCTCGCTAGAGATGGTCACAACAAAGCGAGACACTCACTCCCGATCAGAGCCGGCGCAGGTACGTCGACTTAAAAACGTTCCATCTGAGACTGAGAGCATAATATCCATTCCGCCACGCAATCGACACGAGGTAAGCGACCTCGTTGCTCGATGCGATCTGAATCTTTTATTCCAGCCAAGGACGAATACTCGCTCCCAAGCCCACCGTTCAGGTCGAGTCGCTCGTCCGTCGCCTGTCTGGACGAAAGGAGATCCTTCAGACAGAGGCCGAAATACAACGACGTCAAACGCAAGAAGGAAGACAAGGAGCTGTCGCCTTCTGAGAGAGTTGCGATTCCCGCAGAAGAGGACGAATTCGATTCCGAAAGTTCCTTCGACAGGTTCTCGCCCGTCAGGAAAACGACGAGGCGAACCTCGACACGATCATTGTCTTCGATGCCATTGAGTAACGTGAGTCGGGGTAAACCGGAGGATTTATAAGTACATTCCGAGTACTCCGAGGCTACGAGAGGCGAAACCGGCGTCCATTGAGTCGATCGTAACTTCAGGAAAAATCACTCGAACCGATCGGAATCGATGATACTCCATCTAGCCGGAAAGAAGACAAGTCGCTCAGGGCGCGTCTCGCCCGCAAGATCCATTCCTTCACGGACAATGTTAAAGGTTGCTAGTTTTTTGAAAATTTTCCGCATTTTCCTAATCTAGTGAAACTATCTCGAAAGTTTTAAAGGGGACATCCAAAACGAATGGGCTCCTTAAAAACTTGCTCGGTCTCCCCAGTGTCCCCGAGTGGCGAGAGAAAGTCGCCTGAAGACGATAAACACAAGAGCACTATTACTCCTCGTACATCTGGGATCCCGATAAAGAGAGGCATACCAGTCTTAAGTGGTGCGTAGAGAGAAACTAGAGAGCAGAGCATCGACTCGGGATTGATCATGCCATGTGTAATTTTTCAAATGACTATGCAAAATTCCCAGGTTCTGTGCGGCGTGCGACACCGTCACCCGTGCTGTCGAATAAGGGTTCGAAAGTATCGGAAACTGCTGAAAGCCTCAAGATTGGCACCGATCCAAGATATTGTGGCGTAGCGTCTTCGGTACCACCTCTCGCAACGGTGACCCCGACCGTGAACTCGATCCCTCATCAGTCTTCGAGCCTGACCAGTTTGAACGACGAGAACCGGCGCCCGCTCGGGACTTCCATCAGGAGAACAGGTGTGATAAATTCAGAGGTTCACGCTCCGCCTTAATTTATTCGATTGAGCACGCTGAGAAGGCTGTCCGCATCGACGGCTGAAGGAATTTCGCTCGAACCTTCCAGGCATCCCAACAAGGTCCGCAGTGAAAAGCTCGAGCACCATACCGAAAATCCCCGCTGCGGTCAGCCCCACCGCTGTTTCCCCCGTGAGACTCACCATGAATGCGGAAACACTCCAGAAGACGCGTTCGTCATTGAGGTGAGCATGGAAAAATGAGGCATCGTTCTTAGCTCATACTCTAATCAATGGAGTCGCTAAGCTCTTCCGTCCTGTACAAACAGATCAACAACCCTCACTCGTCCCGAAGAACTGAAACCCTTCATGAGAGCCACTTCAGCTTCCATCGCTCGCGTTGCTCCTAGTAAAAGCACCTCAACGGGAGCCACCCCGGGACCTTTCATCCGAAACGGTCCAGCAGCCTATCATCGCCGAACAGTGCCTGGCTATCGCTAATTATTTTCTATTTACGGACCAAGCCCCCCACCTTTGAGTGGAAAAATAGCTGGATATGGTGCACACACTAATGTGGGGAGGAGACCGGAGACCAGATTATCGGAGATTACTTTTCGTATCGCCTCAAAGCTAGGTAGCTCGTTCCGACTTGAGAACCTGATGAGCTCCCTTCCTTTCCGAGTACGGAGGTGTTCTCCTCAGATTGATTGGATGAGCTTCGCTGAGGGGATTCCACGATGATCATCATCGACGTAGAGAAGGTTGTCGCGAATTGGAGGAGCATCCATTCATTTATCGCTGTCGGAAATACGGGTGACATATAATAATAAAACAGCTGCCGATTCTCTGAGATTAACCTTGTTTATGATGTGAAATCATTCTCTCTCGTCGTTATCATCACAATGGTGTACCCAAGGGTTCATGGGCGATTCGTCCCGGTTACCTCAATTCCCAAACGGGTGCTGAAAGGTCTGGAGTATGACGAATTCCGGACGTCGACGATCATCGTTCGTTTCGGAACACAACGACCGGCATCGACCGCTTCTAACTCCACTGGAGCATGAGGGAAGGAAAATGGGTCCTCCTCTGGATTATTCTCATCATGACAATCTTTGACTATCAACATTGACTAGAGCTCTCGAAAAGTTCTCCAAAATATTACAATAATGATTCCATACGATTTTCCTAATCTGCTAAATCCGGATATACGATCCTTAATTACGAAGGGCCACCAATTGAGATCGCCTTGAACTGAAACAATGTGAGCATCTCCCTCCTTCCGGCTGGAGGATGTCTATTCTGTGACTCGGATTTGAAGTTCTGCGATTCGAGGGGACTCGAGCAGTTTTTCATTTGAGCTCACCCACTAGCTGTCATTTCGAGTTTGCAAGCTAGACGATGGACGCCCTGTGGAGCAAGCCCGACGAAGCGTCGCTATGCATCGTGATCATCGACATCCTTGCATCAGCACTGGGCTTCTGCATCACGAGCTCGAACTGACGTTGATCCGTTAGACTGCAAGGAGCTGGTTACAATTTTCATCACTTGACTACTTTTTTTCCACCACCTTGCTTCCCCTCTCCATAGCCTGATCCATTGCCGACCCTCAGCTAAATCTACTTGACGATGATCGCTCCTCGATGGAACTCACCGGTAATATGCCTTCTTGAGCTGATATTGAACCTCCCCGTTGAGATAACACAACACGAGTGAAACGAAAACTCCCTGAGAGCTTACGCAGAACCAGGATATGTAGGACGTGAGGAGTTTGTTCGCGCAGGCGGCTCCCGAGGCGAATATCGAGACCACGAAGTGCACTCCGAACAGCGGTATCAGAATGAGGCAAGCGCGGAATATCCGTCTGAGAGGAGAGCAAAGAAATAGAGTACAAGGTCTCGCGGGAACCAGGAGGGGAGCTCGCATGCCACCAATTCCAATCTCAGCCCACCTGAGATTGTTTTCCTGGAAGTTTTCCGCATTCTCTGGACCCTGTAGCTTCCCAGCGATTACGAACACCACTCGGATCATGAAAACAACGTTCAGCTGAAATGTCGAAAGTGTCACGAGTGTCTCAGGATCAAGGAGGGTGGAACCGAGGGCTAAGTATATTCGTCGGGACTTCTCTCACCATGAGGCAAAGCGTGGCAGGACCCGTTACGATATAGTCGTAAATTGTTATGGACCGCCAGCAACTGCATCGTCGGGGGAGGAATAAGGAGAGCCTGGGTTAGGGACTTCTCGACTCGGAACTGAGCCCAGAGCCATCACTATCAACGCATCGCATTTCGCCTCATCGACAGAACTCACTCAGCATTAGCAAACACCGCACTACAGACGGCGTAGATGAGCACGAAGAGCGCGGGCATTCCTGTAACGAGCAAGAAACTGTACCCTCAAGTTCGTTTGCCGAGAAAAAAGACTGACGACATGATGTTCTCGCTCCTCACGAAGTGAAAGTCTCCTATAATCTCTGAGCCGAAGCGGAAAGGGAAAGGGAAGGTGACCAACTCTCCGATAGCTGTGCGCCTGACGTGCGGTGGAAGACAAAGAGCAGGAACATTTCTCCGTGCTGTGAGCTTACCCCAACCGAGAACGTAGTACTTAGCCAAGGTTGAATAGCTCACGAATGCTTGTGTTACGAGAGTATACAGATAGAATCCTTCGCACAGCATCCAAGTGTATTGAGAGCACCAAAAATACTTCTGGAGCACTTGCAAGAGCTTGCACCACCACTAGAAAGTAATTGAGCCGTTTCGTCACTCACTTTCGGTGGATCCCTCTCTCCAAGAGCTGAACCAAAGGACCTCGAAATCGAGTTGGTAAGAACAAGGACTCACCACATTGTTGCGCTCCAACAATATTTGGCGTTGAGAGACTTCAGGAAGAGTGAGTACGCAATGATCTATGAGTTGCATGAGAGATGATAGCATCACCGATGTGACTAAGTGTTTGTGCATGGTAATCCGTTGACATTGTAGCGAGCTGTGAGCGAGATTCGAAGCGGATAAATCGTGAGTCGGAATCTAAGAGTAGGATGGAATCTTCCATCGGTGATCTTGATAGATCTTGACAAGCTCACACCCTCACCGGAAGTAGCTGAATATCACTATTGCTGGTAAGCAGAACACGACGCTTAGCGTGAACAGCACAATAGCGAAATAGTACACGCTGGCGATTTCACCCTGCGGGAGTCACGGTGACGGTGATTGCGAGTGGCGAAACCTTCCCGGAAAACCCCGTTGCTTTCCGAGGAACTTCGACGAATCGCGCATCGATTTCTATACCAAGGGAAAGATCTCGAGTCGAGAGCTCACTTTTCCTTCCTTGGGCGTACAGCCGCTGTAGTCCGTGTACTCTTCGTTATTTGTCGTGTTTCTCCGGTACCAAGTACTGTCTGATAGACACCGCCTCGTTGATACGTATGTACATTTCGGCGCAGAGGCGTACAGGAATCCAGGACACGGCATTCCGACCGTGGAGTTCGCAGGCGCATCTTCGAAACATGTCAAACCGTCCCAGGTACCTGGACAGTGCCCTTGTGGTGTAGCTCCCAAACGCGTCTGAGTCCGCTGGCAACATTCTTGGGAATCGAGAGGAATGTAATCAATGTCCAAGCATGGGTTCTCCCTCCAGCGGAGAGTTATTCACTGGGGTGAATGCAGTTTATACGTGGAAGCTTCAAAACATTTCGATACTTACCGACAGCGTGCTTGACACAGGATACCCATCGTAGACCTGCTCCAGAGATGCTCTCTACCGCGCGGAAGAGGGTACTGGATTTTTCTTCCGTTTCCGGTATATGACAATCGCCTTCGTTGAAGCTCCGCGCGTCTCCGTTCAGACATACGAACGGTATGGCGAGACAAGGCCTGCGGGGGACAGCTAAGTGGATCAAGAGACGGAACTCCGGAGGGGCGCTTACAATTAGTTCTCAGGGAAAGTCTTCCCAGGTCGAGCCTCGAGCTCAGCCTGGAAAACCCTCGTTTGTTCGTTCGATCCAAGCCAGCATCGACGAGTATACAATACCGGAGGAACAGCTCAAGGAGAAATCTCGAACTTAAGCTTGGTCTACCATGGAATTGATGGAAGCCTCATGCCGGTCGCATGAATCGACCGCCCATTTGAGAAACAAGTTTCGATTGTTCGATACCAGAAGCGATAGGGAACTCGTACGTAAGCTACGTGACGAATCCGTCTCCATCGCTTTTAGCGTCATAGAAGTCGGTCTCACATTCATCGGCATAGAGCCGTTTGGGAGAAGCGGAGTTCCCTCTAACTCACCGCCGTTTCAGATGCTTGGCGTTCGTGTAGAAGAAACATTCTGCGGCCGTATGCAAGTGGAAATCGGCGGTGTCATCATAAAAGAAGCGGTTGCGAACCGAGCAGACGCGAGCGTTCTCCTTGACCGTCGCGGATCGGAGCATTGGATTCCAGGCGGGGTCGAATGAACATCGACGTTGAGCCAGAGCCCCTGCCTGCAAGCGTCAAGGGGCAGTCCTCAGTCTTCTATAATCATCGGATGTGACACTCGGATCGGGGGCCACTACGGCTGCTCGCTCGATCGCGCTCGAACGGGTGTCGAGCGTGTGATCCAAGTGAGAAAAGTGCGTTCCGGAACTATAACTCAATTAGTTACTGAAAATCATTCGGCCGAATAGTCTCGAAGAAACGCTCGAGTAAGGATATCGTTGCAAGCAGGCTATCAGAGATAAGCCGGAATAGTGCAGTTCCAATGGAGTCGAAAATCCCGCAGCGATCTTCACATCGTGGATGTCTGGCGTTCCGATGTCAGGTCTCTCTCCCAGACCGGGGCAACGGAGCAGCGTACAATCCCAAAATGTTTGAGGACCTTCATAGACGAAACGGTTGGAGAATCTTTGCGCGCTGCAGTAGCTCACGACCGCCGCAGATCCCAATGAGTTCGAAAACGTTGACCGTATCGATATCACAGCATTGCTGGAGTCGGTAGTGACAGATAGCCAGAAAGTTACGAGAAACCCGTAGAGGATAGGAAGGACATCAAAAGGCGGGAGGCTTCATCCCTCCCAATAGGTTGATTGACTCGAATCAATGGATCGGACCTTCGATCAAGTTACAGCCCGAGAATGGAATTCGAATTCCTAATTCGAAAGTTTCGTTCTAGCGTGTCTCAGTCGGCTCTTCTTCTTGAGTTTGCCCAAAGTCAGGAATTATTCAAGATTCACCGATCCTTGGCAATCAGCGGGTCACTACAGGGCGGCATTTCCGTTGTTTTTGACTTGTCAAAGCGGATAGCGCTTTCCGAGAAAACAAAGTAATATTGCCGTCATTCGATTGTTCCGCCGAGAGCACCTTACCGTGAACCAGCCTTGGTCTGCGCTGCTCTGTTCCGTGTGCCAACGCGATTCTTCTTAATCATTCCAGGAATTTTCCAATGATTGTGAAGATTTCCTCGGGGGAACGCGCGGCTGCCGGGGAACCAGATGCTGAATGAGCGCGAATACCGTAATTTCCGCCCCGTCACGCTCATTGATAGTACGTTGCATCCACTCTCCCACCTCCATCCTTAGCGGACCACCCGGAGGTAAAGTGCAGGTGAGGCTGCCGGATCTCTCAATCGGTGACCAGACAAGAGAGCCCTCATCCCCGCGGTCACATTCCCTCGTAACGTTATTATTGCATTTTTGATTGGTCACATCCACTTGATATCTTCATAATACAGTGCCAGCGATGTCAGTCTGAGGGAGGACACCTTGAAGCCTGTCTGTTCTCTCCAGTGTTTTCTTTCAATCAATGGAGGTAGAAACTGATCTTCTTGCTAATCTCTCACATACAGGCCGAGCGTCGATCCCGAGAGCACCGTCACATGCTCGGTGCGAGAATATTGAGCTGTCAGCAAGTCTCCGATACCAGTGTGGTTCCGTTCGTTCGTTCTCGCGATAAACGTTTCTTCAGAGCTCAGATACCTACGGACGGCAAGGTTTGTAGGTCCCGATAAGCCTTCAAATCAAAGTATCGGGGCCCGCCCCAGCGACGGAGGAATGCCCTTGCAGATGAACGATGTCCCAGAGCTCTTTCAGAATTCAAGCTGAGATTTCTCGAGGATTCTGACTAGGGTAAGCTCTCGTTTAGAACTCAGGGCTTTTGAGAGGGTGGCCTATGACCGGCCTGATTCGGGAGGGGTCTCGGTTTTCAGCGCTTAGACCAAAGTCGGAACCCTCATCACGGATATTTTCTCTGAATAGCCCGTGCCATGAGCTCTCCCCAGTTTCCACAGGATCGAGTTTTGTGACTGGTAGGTGGAGGGCACATATTGTTTCATTGCTTCAGAACTCGCGATAGGGTCATTTAGGAGGCTGTCCGGCGGCAGAGCCCAGATTTTGGTGGCCTCTGCCAGATTCGCAATCTGTGAACGTCGATTCGATGCTAGACACGAGATGCTCATTCTGAGACAGACGACTCTCGGTAATTCATTCACATAGGGGCAAAAAGTTTGACCCTGATCAGCGGTGGCCGACCGCTTTTTTTCAATGTGGCGACTAGGTGCCGACCCGAGACCGCAAATCGATCGGCACACGTTCCAGCCGATCTTCAGAACAGGCTGTGGATGCTGAAAAGTACTCAGTCGATCGACATCGAATCTCATCTGGGACGAGAGGACACTCCGGAGATATATTTCATTTATCAGACTTTCTCTCATCACGATTGTGGTCCCAGGTCCCGACAAATCCTTATTGGTATCCACTATCGGAAGGTCGAGATCATCGTATCGAAATTTGGAAATCATAATCATCTCAACATTTTCGTGGAGAGCTGATCTTGGTCTCGGAGACATGCGAATACACCTCTGGCTTCCCCCATGATAAGGATTGTATCCGATCGAACTCGTCTGCGACTTTTCCTTCGAGGGGCTCTTTGAACCGAAACCCCGGTTTTTCCTCAATTACTGAGAAATAATATTTTGCCCATAAAGAGGGCGTCGCGCGTAGTTGTGTAGCCCAACTACCTAACAGTGATACTACAAGAAACCTTGGTTGGCATGATTCCCGAGAATTTCTGAATCCCCCGAGTGGTATCGAATCCCTTAATCCGGGCGCTCCCAACAGGATGAGACCTCGATCTGCCGAAATGCAAGATTCTCCTCCAAGTCTAATGAGAGTCTCCAAAAATTCCCAGGTAGGCGCCGAGCTGGGAAAGACATCTTTACAAGGATTCATATAGTCAGCTTGAAGATAGTGGAAAGACAGAGGACTCCCTCGTGGGATTATCAGTACATGTGACTTGGAAGCGATGGCTTTATGATACGTCCACAAGTTTGCACTGCCTCGCTGCTTCGTTTACGCGCAGTGTCTTAGTTCTGCTCCATCAGAAGTGCGCGCGAGAGTGGCTCAACGGATCCAGTGACAAAATGTGGGTTGATCCCGATGAGGTGTACTGGATTCTGATTAGCGGTTTCATCGTCGCTTTCTTCTTGGCTTTCGGTGTCGGTGCCAACGATGTGGCAAATTCTTTCGGCACTTCGGTGGGAGCAAAAGTCCTCACTCTGCGACAAGCGTGTATCCTCGCAACGATCTTCGAAATCCTAGGAGCAGTTCTCTTGGGGTATAGAGTGTCTGAAACCGTGCGAAAGGATATTTATACCCCGGAGTTGTACGAAGGTAACGAGAAGACGCTCATGATCGGGAATCTCGCCGCTCTCTTCGGTTCTGCGGTGTGGAATATACTCGCGACCTTCTTCGCGTTGCCTATTTCCGGTACCCATTCAATTATCGGCGCCATTCTCGGATTCACGCTGGTCGCGAGGGGTTTGCGAGGAATCAATTGGATCGGACTTCTGAAGATTATCAGCTCCTGGTTCGTGTCTCCAGTCTTGTCCGGCATCGTGTCGTTCGTGATATTTTTCTTCATAAAGTCCTTCATCCTCAATAAGGACGAGCCGCTCGAGCCAGGTCTGCGGGCGCTGCCATTGTTCTACGGCTTCACCGTGTTCGTGAATGTGATTTCCGTGTCCCACAATGGTCCCAAACTCTTGTATCTCGATGACATTCCTCTGTGGGGTGCTCTTCTTCTTTCCCTTGGTATATCGTCGCTTGTCATGCTCGTAATCTGGTTCTACCAAGTTCCGAAGCTGCGACGGGACATAGCGGCGTCCCTCGCCAACGAACAGGCACCCACCATAGCACAAACGAGCGCGCTTCCGAACGGTGCTGAGAAGCAACGATTGACGGACGGAACTGCGGTGGAGAAATACGACCGCAGGGCATCGATTGCATCTCTGGAAGCCTCAATCCTGAAGGCCAAGACGTCAGAGGAAGAGGAGAAGCCGGAAGTGGCTAAGCTTTTCTCGTTCCTGCAAGTTCTAACGGCCATCTTCGGCTCGTTCGCGCATGGCGGCAACGACGTCTCGAACGCGATCGGACCCCTTATCGCACTGTATTTGATCTACGCAAACGGATCCGTTCATCAGGAAGATACCACTGGATCGGAGTGGATACTGCTGTACGGCGGCTTCGGGATTTGTGTTGGACTCTGGCTCTGGGGCAGGAAAGTAATTCAAACTGTCGGAGAGGACTTGACGAAGGTGACCCCAACGAATGGATTTTCGATCGAAATCGGTGCCGCGACCACCGTCCTGGCAGCGTCCAAAATCGGACTGCCCATCTCGACTACACATTGCAAGGTGGGCTCGATAGTGTGCGTGGGTTTGGCGAAATCGCAGAAAGCCGTGGACTGGAGCCTGTTCAAAGGAATCATCGCTGCGTGGCTCCTGACTTTGCCGATTACCGGGGGTTTGACTGCAATAATCATGGCAATCCTGATGCACGTCGTGAGCAACGTCAATTAGACAACAAAAGTTCTGACCGATCCCAGTCTGCGTTCTGTACATAAAAAACTACTAGATTTTCAAAAATAAATGTACATGATTGAAGAACTCGAGCGTCTTTCTTAGACACGAAGAGCATATCAATCATCGATTCCCTGGGTTTTCGCATGCCGCCGACATCCGACACGAGGATTCTCCGACCCGAGAGTGACCCAGACTCTTGGGCGGGATCCGGCTCGCGAGAAGAACGACGGAAATCGACGGGGAATCCGTGGATCAATGAACTCATTATCTACGAAAGATAATCATTTAGGAGCTATTCCCCGAATCTTTGTCAACACTTACTTGTATTGCGGATATGAGGCCGTATATCAAGAAACCGTAGGTTGCCATCGTTCTGAATGAAGCCACTCATTCCCTACGACATCAGTCTGAAGGTACTACCTGAGAAAAGAAGTTTCGTCAGCTCGATTTGCTTCTGTCGAGGAGTTCATTACGCCTTTCGCGGAACCGGTTTGTTTACCTACATCTCTCCAAGAGATTCCACTTCAATGTCTGAGAAAGCAGACATTCGTGCCTGTCGCGTCGGATCCACGCCCGATTTATGATATCCTCTCCCCGGTTCAAGGGACTGCTCTTCTTGTGACAGCTTCCGAGCATTGGAACACTCGTGAAGCGCTCCTCGCCATGTCATATCATTCTGTGCGGGCAATTCAGACATGGAGGGATATTGAGATCGTTCTTTGGCGAAATAATGGGGATGTCGTCCGTGTTTTGAGTGATCGGACTTTCAAGGCAATTATGACTCCTTCCAGCCCCTTGATCTTCGAAAATGCTGAGCGGAAGCGATGGTCCCCTCCCAATAAACTCCCAGAGGGTTAGATTTCTCCAGTGAAGCCCTCGTTACATCGTCGACCGCCTGCATGCCAGTGCGAGAGAACCGCGTAATACGAGCAAGTTCCCCCGACGCGATTTATGAGCTTTCCCCGGTGTCACTCAGCGCTCGTAATCAGTTTCCGGTGACGACCACCTCAGATGATGCTATCTCCTTTTGATGACCGAGGAGTAAAGAGTCGCCAGAATCTAATCGGACCGAATAACTCATTCACTCGTAATCTATTTCGGCTTTGGCTCCCAAGAGCGCGCGGATGATCCTCCGTCGAGCCACAACAGAGGAGGGGGGAATCGTCGCGGGAACGAACTCGATGCGACGGCTAGGTTCGCGGATCCGGGCTTCCTATCTCTAGTCCGACCCTTTTATGTCGTATCGGAGCCATGCGCCATTCGCTGCCATACCTCACGTTACAGCGCCGTTGGTCGCTGACGGAGCGAAGTAATTTAGCTTAGTGGATGCAGCGATTCGCCATAAACGAAGATTCGAGAGCTACACGCTCGTAGACCTGTTCCCCTACAGCTGCGAGAGCGACGTTGGATGCAGATGATCACAGAACTGAGCGGGCTGTAAAGTTCCCATGTCAAGAGATTCTTCGTACAAGGGAAGACATCGACTCTACGCAGGATAAGTCGACACCGTCCACCGCATCATCACCCCATCCTAGAGTTGACGTGATTATATCCCCAATCTATCGTTTCTGTGTCCCCAGCGACAACCTCATCACCGATTCTTCCTCATCTCGAACGAGGCGGAAGCGAGTAAAGAGTGTGGGTATTGTGAGTCAACCCACGGCTTCACAAACAATCTAGGTAAACATTGCAGCTCATCACAAAGTATGAACGATAGCACGCGATGTGACGAGACCTCATTCCGGAAGATGAAGAGTCGCATTATTATTTTTCTTCTAGGACTCGAACGTGCAAGACGACTCCTTGAATCAAAAACTTGCGCTCGCAGCCTGGCCCTGGAAGGCTCGGATGTCAAAAGTACGACGCGGACGTTAGTTAATTTGAAAACGCGAATTTTCGTCGCCGCTGATTAGGCTTGGATAGCACTGATGGAACAGAAGCTCCGGTTAACTCAGTTCAAGAGGAACGTCCCAGACAAGAGGGATGAATGTCTCAAAGAAATTGCTCCTTCTGTAGATCTCTCGTGACCGAGAATCGATGTCTACCTACTTCGAAGTTTTTCGGGGACGGAGGTCTTCTCATTTTTCCGGGAACGAAGCAAGCACCTGTCCGTGTTCCAATTGATCATTCTCGCTTTACGTCTCAAGATTGTGAGTTACTCTTTCATCGCTCTTTGGAACACAGTTCAGCTCAATCTCGATTAGACGTTCGCCGGAGTGCTCTATAAGATTATCAAGTGATTAGAATTTAGATCATATTTACGACTTTAAATAGAATACGTGAGTGTGGGCGCCGCCGTGTTGATGATGGCTCTTACCCAGAGGACACCGACGCGGCGAGCGAGGTTTCCCTCGAGGGTGAGGATTCTACAGTCATGGCTCCGCAGATATATCACCCTGTGATCGCGTTTTGGTTCTCTGGTCAGTGTTTAGGAGATATTATTCTCTATACTAAGCGCCCGGTTTGATAACGTCCTACAATCATCGCGATCCTTTAGCGCGTGAAGTTGGGGCATAGTACTCGTCACTTCCATCGAGCATGACGGGGGATGCGACGTTCGTTGGAGCGATTCCAGGGAGTCGACGATCGAAGTAAGGAAAAAACGGCTCCCTAGAGACGTCGACTCACACTTCTAAATTGGAACCGTGGACACCAAGCTCAAGGTTCGCTTCCGTGAAACGCTCGTGCTTCTGATACCGGTCTGAGCAGAAATCATTTCACGCCTTCTGGATCACAGAGGAAACAGAAATACGAACAATCGAGTGATGCGTTGTCCGCAGCGGGAGCCACGCGACCATGTGACAACTTTGCAGAGGCTAGTTATGAGAACACTGTTACCTTTATGAGATCTACGAACGTTACGAGCAAAGCCGTTTCGGGAGCGCTGACCCTATATGGCCGAAGGTGTGCGATTCGATTTGCTTGCCATCTCCTCACCCAATACGCAGACACGCCGCCGCTCTCATGAGTTCAGGGAAAGCGTCGATGTGATTCCATGAATAGCGAAGACCGAGGTTCCCATTGGTGCGAGGAACCTGCTCCTTCTCACGATCGGAGTTCCAGGTCTACGTCCGTGGATCATCCTCCGTTTTCCCCAGGGTACCATCTCGGGGAAGTTCACAGAGCAGACCAATCGGCCTCCCCGCAACGACGCAGAATACCTGAGCTGCCATTGTGCATTCCGTCCACATGTTTACGAGACCCCGGTCTGGGAAATTTCCCAGTTTCTCAACGATGTTCCCGAGCGATTGACCGCGACGAACATGTTCAATACATGAGACCCCTCTTCCGGCTATCAACGATGTTCTCGAGATCGAGCTGGTGCGGGTCCACAGTGCTAACAACGCGGTGAGCGACATCGTTTCTCATGTTCGACGCCGGACACTCGAAATCATTCGATTCTTGGCGATCGACCTGTCCCCACGGGATAGCGTTCGTCAAGCGCGCTTGTCTAATCTCAACGCGAACTACAACATTCGGTGAGTAGGGACGAACTGTCACGCTTACGATCGACAATGACGACTCTTTTCCGAATGTTCAGTTTTCAATAAAGCTTGATCATGTGAGAGTTCGATGGGGCATCGGGACTTACTTGTCACTTTGTTCGCTTCGATGGTGAGCGGTCGGTGCTTGACACAAACGTGCAATCGGCTCAAACAACTCTTTGCTGCAAGGAGCCACAGCACAAGATTATCCTCTGCTTCGACACTGAGATTAGCGCAGGAGAAAGGAACCGGCTGTTTTTACTACCTTTCGCCGGTGACTCTCGGTCTGCTTTCTCTTCAAGTGTGTGTGTGGAGTCTTCTCACGGAACAAAATAATGCAACCGTATCCCGAAAGCACTCTTGCGGAACTCCGAGGCCCGAGAGACGCAAGTGACCCCGAAGCGACGTCAACTATAGGCGGACGAAGCCTGTAGGTAGAACTTGTCTCCTCGAAGCCCAGCCATGTGCTTGTGTTTGCCGCCACGGCATCCGTGGAGAGTCTAGGCCCTTTCCGCAAATCACTTTATTACGGCTCCAGAACACGATAGCAGCGCTCGGCAACGAGCTTTGCTTACTTACTTGCCCTCTCGACTGTACCCGACTCGACCATAGTCATCTCGACTCTACGCCTCAGCTGTCTCGTAATAAAATTTTGTTTGCGCTTACGCTGTACGTCACCGAAAACGATTACAACGCCTAAAAGTTCCGAGCACTCCAATATCTCGCCGCAGGGGCAGAACAATTTTCTTATTAATAAATAGTCGAGCACTGGGAGCCGTGGACCGCGATCCAAGCACCGCGTATTCGATAACTTGAGTTCTCGAAATCGTACTCGGAATTTCGCTCCAGGAAGGTGTAACTCGGCTTTTCTTCCCGCAGCTGCCTGAGATCACGGACCACGCTCGTTCGATTAATTGAGCAAATTTTCCGATGATGAATCCAGATTTTTCCGACGAATGGGATGCTCCTACTGGAGCAGCTTCGCATTCTCTCCGTTGAATAGGTGGAACATTATATGTTTTGCCTTGCGAACGTTGCCGCGTCGGAGCGACGGAAAGACAGAGATGTGGCTCCGAACAAAAGCCATCGCATGAAGGTCGAGGACCGCCACGGTATCCTCAGAGTGTGAATTAAGGCGCTCGCCACGCTGCGGCGTAACGAATGGGCCCTCGATTGTCATGGGCTCCACCCGATATACCTCTGACATTCTCATCAATATAAGTACAATCTGCCTATGATGATGATTTCCAGGACACCTAGGAACTCCCAGAATGGCGTCTTCTCGGTGACAGGCTTCAGATGATTGATTATGCATCATATTCGATTTTGAGCTCATGTTTTGGAACTCCCATGGGAGTTTCGTATCTTGACCTTCCGTACTATATTCGCGCACTCTTGAATGGATCTTGTCCGGAGAGTCGATCGAGATGTCCAATGGTAGTGATTCGTGATCGACAAGAAGCGCATAAATTGCGGCTTCTTCCGCCCCTGGATCACGGATTGCACTGCGACGCGTTATGAAGGGTTCGTGATGCCGGAACCTGGATTAATGTCCGAAGAGAACGAGTGACGGCTAATGTGAGACTATATGGCGTTGTTACGCACGTCAGCCAACATAAGTCTGATTTCGTTCGAGAACACTCACTGCGAGACGGCATACTATCCAACTATCATGTCGGTCTATTTAGGATCGACAGAGAAATATCACCGATCATGAAACGGAGCCTCGGTAACTTGTCCCCATGACAGGACACGCATTCCCGGACAGAACCAATGAATGAGATTGATTGCGGTCATCGCGGCGTCTTCAGACATCCAGCCGGAATTAGATATCGCCGCTTAAGTATAGGAGTGAGGCTAGCTCAACGAGCAGTAGCGTGCTCCGGGGGGAGCGGAAAGGGGGGCGGGCGGTCTGCCTCGGGTGGACTTTCGAGGGGGGGCATTTCCGAGCCTCGACTATACTCCTTGAGATGCGAACGATCACTTCGTCGCGAAACCAGAGGGATTCAGAAATTGCGATCTCCAGACAGTCCAGGCGGATGATATTGTGACCGGAGTAAGCAGTATCGCGCGTTACAGCTTCCCTCGGAGCAAAATGAAGAAGCGCGGCTCAAGTGGTGATCTGTGGGCGTCTTCCTATTTCGAGTATCCTCTGTCGTGGACGAAACCACTGATTCGAGTCCAAATATTTTGTGTCCACTAGCTCTCAATACAATGTAATAAGTAATAATCATGGAACCTCCTAGCAATACTTTTATGCTTTGTTCATCTTTCGACAGTCAGAATATTCCCTTCAAGGGAGCAATTCAAACCCGATAATCAAACGCGGTTCTCGAGGCTGCCGGAATCCGACACATCCGTGACATGATTTCAGGCAAAATATTATAAGCTGAGACTCAAAAGCACGAGAGCGCTCCTGACCTCCGTCTCGGGCGGCACCATGGGGAAACACGCCACTGCCAACAAGTTACTCCAACACGGGAAAATGAACGATCAGATCGCCTGAGTTGCCGCACCTCCGAGATTCAAGCTTGATTCAGGCTCTTCTTACGCGGCTATAGCTAGCTACTGAATTGAATCTGCTCCTCTAAGACGGCTTTGACTTTGATTTGATCTCCGTCTTGTCCGGAAGTCGAGATTCTCTCGATCTCCTGGCAGCAAGGAAATGATTCCGGCGTCGATCAGCCTTCGGAATTCAATGTCGCTGAACGAGCTCGCCTTGAGCCAAAGTCCCATTTTAAAATCGATCTTGCGAGTAAAGGAGCGATCGAGGAAGTCCCCTATCGGAGATCATCGTCGAGCGAGCCGGGGAACTTGACGAATGAACCAAATCCCCTTTGCGACCACTCTTCATTCATTCAGGATCCCTTATGGATTCCCGGACCTGAGCTCCGACATGAGGATATGCTTGTTCACCGAGAGAACAGACAGACCTTCAGGCTCGCATAGATAGACGGAGGCTCGCCGTAGCGGGGAATGTTCCTCCTGCTTGAAGCCTGGAACCGGGAACTCCGCCCCAGAAGTCAAAGTGCCTTCCGAGAGAATATATCAGACAAATATTAAGCATCCGCGGAACGAGAGAGTGGATCTACAGAATCAAGGCTGTCTCTCGACATACATGCCCTAGGATTCGACCGAGCGCAGGCGAGGGCTATCCCATCAAGATCGCGAGCGAGGTATTGATATGTTTGCGTGCCGCCCGCGAGAGCATTATTCTATCGCCGACTTCAACCTCAGACTCTCGAAGGTAACTGGAAGATTATTGCACCGACCTGAAGAGAAACCTTCATGTCTGTCCCTCATACTCTAACTGGTGGGGCTCATACCCACATCGAAATATACGCACGTATCACCCGGAAAGAGCTGAGGGCACAATTCGAGACTGCACATGCTTGCTCCGAGCACAGGCTTCTGCATTCCATTGAGTCGTATAGGAAAGTCGTATAGGGCTATCCCAAAGGAAAGTGCCAGCCTGCGCCCTCCAGGCTGTTTTACGGATGTTTAGTTTTCGATTGGGAAGTTTCTGGTGCGTAGCAGATCTGCAGGACATTCGAGGCCGTCGAGATCTGAGACCTCCCCTGACGATCGGTCTAGCCCGTCTTACGGAGCCTCGAGGCGAATTCTTCTCCCCTACCGAAATTAATCGATTTTCTCACTGACGGGTCCAACAGCTAGGGATTGTGATCCTGTGCCCCTTGCGTCCTTCGTCAGGAGGACGCGCGGATTGGGAATGAGTGCAGTTATATTCAGTCTCGACAGGGAAAGAATCGAGAACCTACTTATGAGCATGAATAGTACAATATAACGATCGAGAGGTTGTGTAATATAGTGTGAGACTCCGCACTCGAGTCCGAGACTCGCATCGAGATGGGGGATTCTCCTTCAATTTCTCCGTTCAGCGGAGCTCTATTGAACCTTTCTTCATCGTCCTGCTTCGAAACGGGGCAGAGAAGAGCCCGAATCAATCGCGTCTGGCCTCGAGTCTTCTGAGTCTGCATCGGAGTACTCAAAATCCGAATGCTGCTCTGATTCTTCCGGGTGACATCGAATATCGCGAGAACTTCCACTCAACAACAAGTCGGCAACTTCCTGGTCTACGGAGCTCCCTTTTGTTTTCACAGCGTCACGAGACGAATTCACGAGTGAATCAGACGATATCATCAACATCGAGTAGAGATCGAAGATGTTTTATCATCTCGGGGAGCCGCGTACAACAACTTCGCAGGTCCGGCAGGCAGAAGATCCTTGACTTTGTCCCGTTTTGTCCTCTCCGCCTAGTCCGAAATTTTTTTCCTGGACGTCCCGCTCGAGGTGTCCCTTGAGACGCTTTTGATGGTCCGGGCTAATCGGGCACGTCTTCTTGTGCGGGTAGCTCAGTGCAGGATGAAATCGAAGTTTTTCACTTCGAGTCATTCAGCTTCTTTCCCGAAGAACCGTTCCGCTTTCGAGTTATGTCTCCCGACTTTTTCCCTCACTCGGGACACATGCCTCTTGATCTGATTTCTGATCTGAGATCGGTTGCTTAGTTGCTCGATTTCGACATGAGCATGAATCAAAATGAGTCTCTCCAACCATCAATGCACTCGTTCTTCCGGGAATTTAAAATTGTCTCCGCAAATGTCCTCCGGGGCACCCAAATTCGAATATCTGAAAACAGCACGCATTCACGTTCGCCAAAACTTGCTGGTTTTTTTTTCGGAAATGGAAGGAGGGGGGGTGGAAGAAGATTTTCCACCCCATGAGCCGCCCGGGTCCGCCCTGGACCAAGTACTTTTCTGGCGGTGAAATTTCATGAAAATCAGGCTTTTTTCGCAAAAAAAAATGCTCTCAGAAAAACTTCTAATTTGCATATTCTCGTCGAATGAACCGCCAAACTTGGAGTTTCAGACTCAATCTCACTCACGACTCGGTGTTTGCTCCATCCTGAATCGAGTCCACGGAAACTCGAGCGTCAGCACGAATCGGACGAAAAAAGTGACAGTCCGGAGCAAAAAAAACTTCCTCTTTCCAGAGTCTCTCCACAGAGATACAAGTGCTTGGTTTCAGATTAATGTGTGTTTCCGAGGTCCCCGTACTTCCTCCAGGACGCCACGACAAAAATTTTCAAAATTTTGTTTTCTTAATTTCTGCCGCCTAAAATCGGGTTTGGCCACACTGTGCGGCGCCAGGAGGCAAGATAACCGCAGGTAGTTCTCACACAGGCAATA